TATAGCCTAGTTGGTTAAAACCCTTCTTATGTCTCCACTAAACTCAGGTTTGAATCCCTCTTTGTTTTCTTTAGCTTGAGTTTTTTGCCTTTTCATAGTTTTTGTCCCCATTTTAAAAAAAATTATAGGTTCGTCACTGGCTGCAGCGCATCTGCAATTGATGACAGTTTATCTTATGGATAGTTGTTAAAAGGTGGAGGTTTTGAGTTCAGTAACGCTAAGCGCATCAATAATCTACTTGAGAGAGCTGAGAGTTCGGTAGGTGAAGGGTTAGGATCGGTATGCTGCAACGCTTATGAGCCACAAGATGAGTTATATCGACAGAGTTCATCATATCTTTTATTGGTAACATAGGTTAAAGCCTTTTTACAAAAAAAAAAAAAAATTGGTAAAAGCTCCAATATATATAGATGGCCTTTTCAGTAATAAGAATATTATATTCTATACCACCGATTATGACTCGTATATCGGCGGTATTCACAGTTTTCTTTAGACGTTATCGAAGACTATACACGTACACCATTTCAACAATTTTTTAAGGAAATTGTCAACAAAAGGAAAGAAAGAAAAATTATCAAAATGTTAGAGAAGACAAACAATCACATGGAAGCTCACTGTGCCTTTCTAATCAAATGAGAGCTGGAGAGTTGCAATCTCATTCAAGTCCCACAAATTTCTCCTTAACGTTTTGGGAGACAATATAATTAGTCAATTGATGCGGTGAAGGTGTGTGTTCCCTATTCAAGAGGGATCCACCTAAGTCCACATCATCACCGCTGCAAATACCTAATTTATCTACATTTATCTTCAAAGTGATTTTCTTTTGAAAACTAAACGAACGGGAATATGTTTCAAGTTCTAGTTAAATGCAAATGACATTGTCATACAAACTAAAACAAAATACAAATGACTAACTTAGCAAAAGATTTTACCAAAACATTGGCATGTCGTGGAACAAAATGGAAAACGATAATTATAGTACATGGACTGTCCATATATATCATGAAATTCTTTGATTGTGTTATTAAAATCATAAGACAGTAAAATATCATTTGTTATAAGATAATGTCAGATATAACACAAAAATGATTAGTGTCACTGAAGAAAGGATCAGAAAAGCTAAAATATGACTTGATAACGTTCGCATAAATGAATATAGAAAATCAATGAAATATGTCAACCCTTGGTGGGAAATCTAGGCGAACCTTTTAATCTTTGCCTACTTCTTTTCTTGGTGGCCAATAAAACTGGAATTTTCTTTTAGATGAGTAACGACGCAGAACCCCACACTCACATGCTATCAAATGCAATATGTTTCCCCCAACCAATTCATTACCAACTAATTATAATTTTATAACAATACTATCAAACTGTAGTTTTTCTTAAACTCCCTAGTTTAACAATGGAAATGCATAATAGTTTTTTTTTTTTTAAATAATAGTTACATATAAAACTTGTTTGGTTACGTGGTAAAAATAGCTAAATTATAGACCATAGCTTACAAAATAGTTCCGTAAAATACAATAAGTTTCTGGATGTGAGTTTTTTTTTTTACTTTTTAAAATTTAAATATCTTAAAGAACCAAAAAATGTCAAATTGGTACTAAATATGTTTGTTTCTTAAAGTTAATATATTTAACCAAAAACATCATTTCAACATTTGACGATTAGCAGCCAATTCATTAGACATCATGTCAATGTCTCGTTTGCAAAACCCACCATTTCATGTGACCGAACAACTCAAAAAAAAAAAAAATCAGGAAACTAAGATACCAATGGGCCTTTAATAGGCCTACACAGAAACAAAGCCCAAAACACAGCTTGAAACAAAAAAAAAGAATTCAGAATGCATTTCTTTTCTTTCGCTGTGATGTGAACGTGAGTGTAGGAGAAGAGAAGCATATTCCCAAGTGGAGTGACAGAGCCACACCACGTGAAAGTGACTCAGACGCTAAAAAACCGGTCAACATAAACCGGAAAAATAAAACCAAACCGGCAACACTTATCGTTCTTTCATAAGCATCTTTCAGACACAGATTCAAACAGATTTGTCTCCATCTTTTTTTTCTTTTGGCCAAAATGCAATACAAGAATCTGGGCAAATCGGGATTGAAAGTGAGCACACTCTCCTTCGGAGCGTGGGTTACTTTCGGCAACCAGCTCGACGTGAAAGAAGCCAAATCGATTCTCCAGTGTTGCCGTGATCACGGAGTCAATTTCTTCGACAACGCCGAGGTTTACGCCAATGGCCGAGCAGAGGAGATTATGGGTCAGGCGATTCGTGAGCTGGGTTGGCGTCGATCTGACATCGTAGTCTCCACCAAGATCTTCTGGGGTGGTCCTGGTCCTAACGATAAAGGCTTGTCGAGGAAACATATCGTTGAAGGAACCAAAGCTTCTCTCAAAAGACTCGATATGGACTATGTTGATGTCCTTTATTGCCACAGGTGATGATAAAAAGATTAGGGTTTTAGTTTTGGGTATGATTTGGTTGTCAGGGTTACTTAGATTGAAAGGTTTCTATTTATAGCATTTGATTTTGTCTCGTTTGATATGTTGGTACTGATAATTACTATTTTTGTGTTATGGATTTGATGATCTTAGACAGGAAGATACTTTTTTTTAGAAAGTGGGAGTCTTTTGCATTGATCTTAATACCAATAACTTTATTTATGTATATAAAAATTGTTTTTTTTTTCATTTTTTTTTTTTGAATTGGGTTATTATCATGTGACACTCACAGGCCTGATGCTTCAACTCCTATAGAAGAGACAGTGAGGGCGATGAACTATGTGATTGATAAGGGTTGGGCGTTTTACTGGGGGACAAGTGAATGGTCAGCTCAGCAAATCACAGAGGCTTGGGGAGCTGCTGAGAGGTTGGATTTGGTTGGTCCAATCGTTGAACAGCCTGAGTACAACATGTTTGCTAGGCACAAAGTTTGTAATCTCTAACACTTGTTTTTTTTTTCAGTTTTAGTTACATCCTTGCATCTCTTCTTGTTAAAGCATAAAGTTGTTGTGTAGGTTGAGTCAGAGTTTCTTCCTCTGTACACTAACCATGGCATTGGTCTTACTACTTGGAGCCCACTTGCATCTGGTGTGCTCACTGGTAAATACAATAAGGGATCTATTCCTTCAGACAGCCGATTTGCACTGGAGAACTACAAAGTACTTTTTAAAAAAAATCTTTTGTTCACTCTTTTCTTTTGTACTCTTACTTCTGTATCTAATACATCTACTGGTTTAACAGAACCTTGCCAATAGATCACTTGTGGATGATGTGCTGAAGAAGGTTAGCGGTCTCAAACCGATTGCAGATGAGCTAGGTGTAACCTTGGCTCAGCTTGCAATCGCGTGGTGTGCTTCAAATCCTAATGTGTCATCTGTTATCACCGGTGCCACAAGAGAGTCACAGGTTAGTTCTTCAATATGGAACATAGTGGATATTAGTCTAGAATTCAATCTTAATATTTCTGTTTTTTTTGGGGGGTGCCTACACAGATTCAAGAAAACATGAAGGCTGTTGATGTGATCCCATTGTTGACGCCACATGTTCTGGACAAGATCGAGCAAGTTATACAGAGCAAACCTAAACGTCCTGAATCATACCGGTAAAACCAAATCCTGAGAACTCTCTTCCCTGTTCAATCGGTTTCAGAAGAGTGTTGGTGGAAAAAGAAATCATTTGGAGGTTGTGTGATGGTTGTTCTTGGATGTTGTCTCGTGTTGGCTTTATTTGTTCTTATGCATTTTAAGAGTCAGATACAGAGAGAGAGTATTGTGCTGTTTTTAGTTTTGTTGCGTTCACTTATTAAAACGGTATGTTGTTAGTGAAACTGAAAAGCTGGTTCTTTTAGTTGCACTGTCACGAAGTTAGTAGTATATTGAAAAAGCTCACCAAAATGGTTGTTAAAAAAAATATGTTGCCCCAAAAAATATATTTATTATTATTAACTAGTATTGTACAAGTTTAAATTTATAAAACAGAGGAAATGTAGGTATACTAATTTAGAGATTAGATGAAAAGTATATAATGGTGAACGTGCACATCATAATGTCAGCACCATCCTAGTATAATGTTTAGTCTACCTTTTGGCAATTATTTTAAAACATGCATGCACATACATTTCTGAGATAGATGCATCCTACACACTCTTGGGGTATGATTCCTTTTTCACCGTCATTTTTAAAACTAATTGTGGATATACTGTTTTATTTAGTTAAATCAGATATTTTTTTTTTTAGACTTGTCTAAAGAAAGAAATTGATAAAAAAAAACATAAACCTTCACATGCAATTTTATGAATTTGCTATTTGAGAAAAAAGTAAATCCGGATTTATGATTTATTAATAGATAGATGATCTCCAGAGGTGTACAAGTGAAACAAATAAAATCAAATTTTGTTATTAATTGAAAAAAATAAATAAAAAAGAGATTATCGAGAGGAGAGTTAGTTAATTGGAGTTTTGTCTTCTCACCACCCACCCGCGTTTTTATTTTTGAGAGCGCTTCTCAGCGTCTCTCTCTCTCTCTCTCTCTCGCAAATCAAAAACCTCAACTTTCGTATCCTCTTTTCTCAATTCCCAAAACACATTCTTCACATTTACCCAAATTCTCTTTTTGTGTCTCCTCCTCCTCCTTCATTGTTAATCTCATCCTCATTTCTTCGTCTTTAGCCATTTTATTTTCAGGTAATTTACATAAAAAGCTTCAATTTTTACAATCCATTTTTCAACAAAATTTGATCTTTATTTATGATCTGGTTCTCAGTTGTATGTTTTATATATTCCACACACATTTAAATTTAAAATGTCAAAGTTTGATTGAGGATGAATCTCTGATCTCTGTTTTTTTTTTCATTTATTTGAATATATGATTTTTGTAGCAAGCTGTGTTCATTAGAGAGGAGCATCAAAGAGATAAGAAGAAACAAGGGAGGAAGAAAGAATAAGCCTTTTTTTTAAATTATTTTTGGTGTTTCTTGAAAGGACATGAGAATGGAGTTCCCTGGCAGATCCAATCAGCATTTATGTAACGACGGTTGTGGTGGTAATAACGACGAGAATGTCTGTTCTCAGACAGGAGAAGAGTTTTCAAACGAGTTTTTAAGAGACTTTTCTGCTCAACGCAGACCACAGGCTGTTGTCAACAGAAACGTGGAAGCTAATCTTAATAATCGACATCTTGTGTACGAGGATTTCAATAGGATTCTTGGTCTTCAAAGAGTTGATTCCAACATCTCTGAAGGTATTATTTCTAATCATCCCTCAAATGTTGCTGACTCGCCACGGATGAATGCAACAACAACAACATCAGATGCTTTTATGCCGGAGATTTTGAAGCTTCTTTGTAGCTTTGGAGGAAGGATCTTACAGAGACCTGGTGATGGGAAGCTTAGATACATTGGAGGGGAGACTAGAATCATCTCCATACGGAAACACGTTGGATTAAACGAGCTGATGCACAAGACTTACGCTTTGTGTAACCATCCACACACGATCAAGTATCAGTTACCAGGAGAAGATCTTGATGCGCTTATATCTGTTTGCTCTGATGAGGATCTTTTGCATATGATTGAAGAGTATCAAGAAGCTGAAACAAAAGCTGGCTCTCAGAGGATAAGAGTCTTTCTTGTGTCTTCTACAGAATCATCAGAGTCTCCCAAGATTTTTAACGAGAGGAATGTGAACAACGTAAACCGAGATATCGATCATTATCAGTATGTTTCAGCCCTTAACGGTGTTGTGGATGTGAGTCCTCAAAAGAGTTCAAGCGGACAAAGCGGGACTAGTCAGACGACACAGTTTGGTAATGCTTCAGAGTTTAGTCCCACGTTTCATATCCGAGACTCGCCTACTTCAGTTCATAACAAAGACAGTAATAGTCCAACAACGTTCATGAATCCATATATGAGTGGTGTTCATTTTATGCCTAGAATGCAGATGCCTGTTCAACAATCTCCTCCACCATCTCCTTTCTCAGTTCACAAGAGAGCAAACACTGACATTCCTTACTTTGTTGATCAAAGTAGTTTCTTTGAGAACAACAATAGTCGCCCTTACTTGGTTCCTCCAAACTTCCCACAGCAACATAGGTTCTTGTATGAGAGTAATACACAACAGACGCAGAAGCATCATCCAGAGATGAGTCTTCTTGACAGGAGCCCAAGCGACGATATTTACCCTCATGGCCAAGCTTATAAGGTGACGCTTAAGAAAAACGCTCTCTCTGATCCACAGCTGCATGACGAGAGCCAAATCAACAATGGGCTAGAAGCATTTACTAGACAACCTTGGAAGATACTGAGAAAGAAGCTGCATGTTGTGGCAACGTCAAAGTGGGAAGAAGATAGTGATGATATCTATTTCAAGAAGCCGGAAGGCGGGAGGAGGAGTAAGGAGCTTGATCTCAACATGGAACCTCCTGATAATTTGATGGATCGTGATCATCAGTCATCAAAGAAACATGGTGTTAGTAACAATACTAATTATTTCAGTCCGAATTATCAACCATCTGCTCAGGTGACTTCAAGTGATTCACAAGATTCAGGAAGCTCAGTGTTTTCTCTATCAGCCAACACCAACGAGAATCATATTGGTGGTTCAAGGGACAAATCAAATGGGGGTTTCCAGCATGACATCTCACTAGATATTCTCATCAGAAACCACACTTCAGATACAGATCAACTCTGTGATGATACAACCAAGTCAAGTGGTCAAGCAGATTACTCAGTGGAACTTCTGAGACAGAAGGAGCCTATGGTTCCGAGATGTGTAAGCATAGTTTACCTTAGCAATTGTTTTCTATTTTCTGTTCTAAATTTTTTTTTCCTCAAACTAGGTGCAGGTTTTGGAGTCAGCTAATGATGATTCAGAAAATGAGAGTTCTCTTCCTAAAGATGAGAGCTTTCACTATTGCGGAATGCCACTTAGGAGGGTGGGAAGTAGAGATGCTGCTTTTATGCACACTCAGGAATCTGATGATTTCTTCAGACACAAGCATCTTGTTCCACAGTTCATGGTTGAGGATGTGACAAACGAAGAAAACGCCGATAGTCTCTTATCAGCAACCATTGTCCCTCATGTACAAAGTGAGTCAGACGATGATCACAAATCTTACACAAGAGAGGATGGGGTTACAAATGCTGGTCATAAATCAGAAAACGAGGTATACAAGATTCGCTATTTTAGTTTGTCTGATAATAATTAGAAGTTCTTCCTACCCTATGGTCTTTGTTTACATTACAGGAAAAGTATAAGAAGAGCAGAAACACTGATGAATCATTCAGCGAAGCTGCAATGGTTGAAATGGAAGCTGGAATCTATGGCTTACAGATAATCAAGAACAGTGATCTTGAAGACTTACACGAGCTAGGATCTGGTACATTTGGAACTGTATACTATGGGAAGTGGAGAGGAACTGATGTCGCTATCAAGAGGATAAAGAACAGCTGCTTCTCTGGTGGATCATCAGAGCAAGCAAGACAGACTAAAGATTTCTGGAGAGAAGCAAGGATATTGGCGAATCTTCATCATCCAAATGTGGTGGCGTTTTATGGAGTTGTACCAGATGGACCTGGTGGAACAATGGCAACAGTTACTGAGTATATGGTGAACGGATCTTTAAGACATGTCTTGCAAAGAAAAGACAGGTATATGATTGATTCGCAGGATCTTTTACGAGAATGAGATCAATAATTTACTGATGGAAACTATTGTGGACAGATCGCTAGATAGGCGCAAGAGGTTGATGCTAACTCTAGATGCTGCATTTGGCATGGAGTATTTACATATGAAGAATATTGTTCATTTTGATCTCAAATGTGATAACTTGCTTGTTAACTTGAGGGATCCTCAACGACCTATTTGCAAGGTAAACTTAATCCAAGCCAAATTGTCTTATGTTTTGCTCATCTCAGTATCTCACATTGTTCTACTAACAGGTTGGTGATTTTGGACTGTCGAGAATAAAAAGAAACACGCTTGTGTCTGGTGGAGTGAGAGGAACTCTCCCATGGATGGCACCAGAGCTGCTAAATGGGAGCAGCAATCGCGTCTCAGAGAAAGTACGTTGTTGAGTCCAAAAATATTGAGTCCTCGTTCACTGTAACATAAGAACTAAACTTACATGTTTGTTTTTACAGGTAGATGTGTTCTCATTTGGTATCGCCATGTGGGAGATTTTAACAGGAGAAGAACCCTACGCTAATCTTCATTGCGGTGCCATCATTGGTATTGTTTTCTGCAGAAACAATTGAACTAAAATATATAAGAACTTGCACTGACATATTTTGTCTGATCAAAATGAAAGGTGGGATTGTGAACAATACGTTGAGACCTCAGGTACCAGAACGGTGTGAAGCAGAGTGGAGGAAGCTGATGGAGCAATGCTGGTCGTTTGATCCCGGAGTTAGACCATCATTCACTGAGATTGTTGATCGGTTAAGGTCAATGATTGTTGCCTTGCAACCCAAGCGACGAACCTAAAAGCTCTCTCTCTCTAATGAAACGTTTAGAGAGAAAAAGAAAAATACTCAACGTAAGTTGTGCGGAGTTTGTAAATTAGTATTTGAGGTATCTACCGGTTCATGTAAACGTTGTATGTATACCCAAGATAAGTTGATGGTTTATTTGAGTAAACAATACAATTTTTTTTCTTTTATTTATTGTAAGAAAATAATGTCAAACTACATGAAGTTTTCCACTAAATTGAATATAACATTCATGATGTTGTGTTCAGTGCTAACAACCATTGCAAGTATTAACAATCCAAAGAAGCACCTAAAAACTTTTAATTAACATAAATCGATAACACCGTTTGCTTAAACAGTTCTTTGTCTTCCAAACACATTGGTTGCAGAAGAAGTTACAATGTCTGTAAAAAAACCACAAAAAATGCAAAACATAATAATAATAGTAAACAACTAACGAAAAATCCAAAACTTGAGAGATATTCTTCAATCGATCCAGCATCTAGTTTTCCTGCAAGAAAACAACAATATTAATATTAATGTCTGAGAGATAGCAAACAATTATCAGTCACACAATCGCCCAAGAAGCAAGTCTCTAGAGGCAGAAGAGGGATCAATCAGTAGATGCAGGCAACCCATGCTTAAGTACCTTGTTTGGTTTCTTCATCAACGCCTATCCGTTTTTCCTTTACCTCTCTTCCCTGAGAACAAGTGCTTAGGTCTCAGAGTTGGAATCACTCTATCAGCTTCACCACGTCTTGCATTCTTGTCTCTCTTTTTGTGAGAGCTATTGCTAATCTTGAGCGCCGCTTTCTTCTGAGTAGAGTCTTTAAACCCTTCACCAGGTACAACTTCATGTGCAGGTGGCCTTGACTGTGATCTCGATATCGACATAGATCTCGATTTTGATCTCACACGCATCTTCTTGTTCGACTGTTGCTCATCATCCACATCCATTGCATCGTTGCCTGCATCTTCTGATCGATCCCTCTTCCTACCTCTAGACTTGCTTCTTGCACGGTCCACTGCAGAAGACGGATCAAGTCCAAGAGAAGATAGTTCCCTACCCATTCTCTTAGTTGTATACTTCTTGTCCTTGTCAAACTTCCTTGGAACAGTTGATCTGTTCTGTGCAACGGTCTTCTTGAGTCTATGCTCTCGAATGATCACAGCTTTCTTCTTCCTAATCTCAGCAAGCTGCTGCTTCTGCTCATCCGTAAGCTCATCGCCGTCCATCTCGAAATCTTCTTCTTCAGCGTCAGCCTGCCTGATTGCTTCTTCACGTTCCAGTTCCTCAAGCCTCAACAAAATGTCTGGATCAAGGAAGTCAGCAACGTTATGACCATCCAGAATCTCAGGTATTATGTCCTCCTTCCACTCATCATGTTCCAAGATGTAGTGCTTCTTCAAGCTAGCGGAATAAACTCCAGCTCCACCGTTCTCCTCTTCCAAATCTTTCTCAGTCTTTCGCTTCTCCTTTTCAGCAGCTTCCTTTGCTTTGGCCTCCAGAACCACCTGAGGTATACAAGCGGGCCTTTCAATACTATCACGAGGCTTCGGCATGGCAACATGGAACCTGTTCAAGTGGTCATTGATCTTCTTAGACTTCATCTTCGCCTCAACTCTCTGATCCAACAGCCTCTCACAAGCAGCATTCTTCACAGACATCACACCCTCTTCCGTCAGAGTACTCATCTTCAACAGCACCGCTTCCTCGCTCGCTCCCATGGCAGTCTTCATAGCCTCAGCCTTCATCTCCTCAATCAGTTTCTTATCATCCTCAGATATGTTCTCCATGGGCATCAGATCAGTCTTATTACAGACAATCACCAAAGGCTTGTTCATAAACAAAGACTTAATACTATGAAAAAGAGCAGCCTGCTGAGCAATAGTATAACCACAAGACCCCGAGATATCCAAAAAAAACAAAACAGCAGCTCGAAGATGCGCCAAGGCAGTAATACTACACATCTCAATAATGTTCCTATCTTCAAACGGCCTGTCCAAAATCCCAGGCGTATCAATAACCTGATACCTCAAGTACTTGTAATCAGTATGACCAACAAAAAGCGACTTCGTAGTGAAAGCATAAGGCTGAACATCAACATCAGCTCTAGTAACTTTATTCATAAAAGAACTCTTCCCCACGTTAGGATACCCACAAATCAACACAGTCCTCGTGTTGGGGTCAATAGAAGGAAGCCTCGCCATATGCTGCCTAATCTGCTCAAGATAAGCCAAACTAGGAGTAATCCTCTTCAACACAGTACACATCCTACCAAGAGCAGCCACTTTCAAACACTTGCAACGGTACAAAGAATCACCATACTTGAGCAGCTTCACGTAATCTTTAGCAATCTTGCTGATCAAGTTTCTAGCGGTGTTCACTTGCCCTAGAGCGAGCTTGTAGTGATCCTTGTTGTACAAGACGTGGAGGAGGTCTCCGTAGAAAGGGTGGATTTGATCGAGGCGAGGGAACTCTTCAATGATGGTGGAGAGCTTCTCGTGGAAGTTGGTCTGAGTGTACTTGACTTTGCGCATGTAGAACTGACGTAAGCGGTTGATTTTGTAGCCCTTGTGGACAACGGTTGGTGTCTGACGTTGAGTTCGTGAGAGGATGATGTCGATGAAGTCTTTCCCATTGGGGACGACTGTGATTTTCTTGAAATTGTATTGAACCATCTTTGCTTATTGGTCTCTGTATGATACGAATTTGGATTAATACATCAAACATAACAACAGCTCTTAACAAATCAATATGGTTTTCTAATAAAAAATGAACTATCAATAGACATAAATTACAGTAATCATGTCACAAGCTTAATCATAAAATAAGTAAATAAAGTTTGAAAGCTTTTATGAGATACTGATTAAAGTTTTGTGATGTTTCATAAGGCAAACAAACTTGCGAAGCAGAAAATTATAGTCAGAACAAAAGTAGCAAAAAAACTTTATGAAAAATTGAAACCAGGAATCGAAGGATACAGAGAGCATAGACTTAGCTACACAAATGAAAGGGAAGTAAGAATTGAGAGACTTACTTTGAGAACCGAACAGGAAGCTAAGGTAGAGAAAGAGAGAATCGAGCCGTCTATGTAATGACGGACGAGACTGTTTTTCAGTGATGAGGAGCTAACATATGTAGGAAGTAGAAAAGCCCTAAAAGCCCTAAAGTAAAACGTCGGCGTAAGGAGGGTGCAAACCAGCGGTTGAATTATTATAAACCCGACCTTAACCGGACTGAACTGGGTTATTTTATTTTTATGTTTTTAACAATAAGTTGATGATCATTTTATTTTCTCGGCATTCTCTTATTCATTTTTTATCTGCAAGTTTTGTTTGTTCTTTGATTAATAAGGATTTTGCGCCAGATTATAGTTTCGTTTTGAACAACAGTATGGTAAAACAAAAACTAATAATGCTGTTGCAATAGAAGCAAAATGGCATACTGTTCTGCATCAGCATATAGTATATACAAAAGTATCACTTTCTTCTCTCTTTGCTCACCATTAGCATGACTGCTACCTATACACTCAACCTTAGTCAATTTAGTCGAAAGAGAAGGTAAAAAGCTTTAGATTTTGCAAGTATGCATCAATTTACTAACACTTCCTCCACTGCAGAATCACAGTAGAAACTCTCGCATTTTCACCGGTCTCTTCACAGCATTTGTGAAACCCTGTAAGTACGATATATATACACATTAGTGGAAATAATATAATCCTGAATATTTTTGATATAGGCTTAAAGGCTACTTCCATGGTGTTATCTTAGAGTCATACCTCGTTAAACTTGAAGAGAAGAGGGCGTGAATCTCTTTTTGCTGTTGCTCGCTTTTGCACATCCTCTGGATCTTCGTAATCTTTCCTTGACTTTCTAAACCTGTTCTTACAAAGACCAACCATGCAATTAGTTTATGATCATCATGGCACTAAAGCATGAAATAGAAACAAGTACCTGACGAAGAAACTATGGGCGGTGCGAGAAGCTTTTTTAACATCACTAGGTTTGGGTTTTGAAGTTGTGGCGTTTTCTACTGAGACTGATGGAGGTTTTGAGGTAAATGGATTTTTGTGACTCTCATTTGACGCAGCAATAGTTTTCCTGACTACGTCTGGATTTGTTTTCTTGATTTCGGGTTTGCTCATGATCCCGGACCTTCCTCCACTTGCTTGCAATATCTTTTGCTTCTCAACCTTAACATATATTTGAAAACCAGACAATCAGGATCCTCATGGAGCTAAAGGCACAACTTATAACAAATTCCAGCGAAGAAGAAGCGAGACTTACTTCATGTACCAACACTTGTTTCATTGCTAAGGTGAGCACGTGATGTTTAAATTGGCGACCCTGTCAAATAATGGAAATGCGATTAGTATTATCCCCAAAGGAACACTACAGTGTCAGATGCTAAGACAGAAGAAACAAAACCTTGAAACTAATGAAATCAAATAGATGCGGATCTAAAGCAAGAACTGAAGCATCTGAAGCAGCACCCTCCCTGAGGTTACTCATAGCAGGATCAAGTTTCACATTCTTATAAGTCAACGAATAAGAATGCATAAGCATGACCAAACTCGCCAGTTGATCCTTTTGCTTCTCTGACAGCAAATGTGATGCCACCTGAGAAGCATAGCAAAATGTTATCCTTAAAAGCACAGCAAAATGATGTTGGTGTAAATCGGGAAAGGATCAGTGAGTAAGCAAATGAAGACATACTGGTCTAAGAGTTGGGGGAGAAAGAATATGCAATAGCGGGGAAACAGAGTCTTCTACGAAAGACTTGATCGATAGATGCCTCCCAATATAGGGAGGTATCTTGTGGTGCCAAGACCGCAGGGACTCCTGCTTCTCCACCAAAAGCGTGCGACATCTGGTAGATTTCATATTGAGTACTTGTAAGCAGAGACGCTGACATGCCTTTCGTAATCAATGCAAAAATGACACCAAAATCACCTGTGATATGACTTAGGCCATTGAATAGTTGGTCTCTGAATCTGGGCCACTCGTCGATGTATAGGTATCACCAGGCTAGGTAAATAAACTGCACCACAAGGTTTAAAGAAGCAGTGTTAATTACAAGACATAATCATCATGAGTTTAAAGGCTTTACCGTAGAGGGACATTTGCTGGGTCCGCATAATATATCGATGCAGCAAATCAGAAGTTCCAAGACAGTCCAAGCAGCTGATCTTTAAATCAAAAGGATTACACATACCAATACTTCAGAACATAGCCTCAGAAACATACAGAACAAAGTTACAAAACAGTCACAGGTCACTGGAAATCATTAGTAAGCCTTACTGTTTTGTCCATCGCCGGATCATGGTATTGAAGCTGCAAAACATTTTCATGTATTCCATCGAAAATCAAATCATAATCACCCCTGCAAATTCAGTTAACTACTTGATCATCAAGTAGTAAAGGATGTGGGGAAATCATTTCGTTGTACGTACCTACTGGATACGAGGGAGTGTAAGAAATCAAATTTTTTGGACTCACTGCCAGAAGCGTCGTTAGATCGTTCTCGTTTCATTTTTCTCTTGTTGAATATCTAAAAAGAAGAAGCAAGCTTGGATATTATATGAAGTGGATCGGTAAGTAAAATAATCTACGATATTAATTGTGTTTTCCTTACCTCTTTCCAGATATCAAAGAGACTCTTCGACATATCTTTCCGCCCAACAACTTGAGAACCAATGTCGATCTAAAAGAAAAGAACGAAGCCATTGTAGCTTATTAGAACTCAATCTCCCAGAATGGAAAATCAAACAGAAAGCTAGCGCTCATAGCTCCATCAAAGACATTTTCAATTGGCATTGGCAAGGCATCAATCAGTCTTTTTCTTCATACGTGTAAACATAGAATATTCACTGAGTCAAAGCTTTCCACAAGCTCCGAAGTTTTGCTAAATCAAACTGAGAGTGGATAAACACTAAGCCGAAAAGAAGCGCATCAAAGACTCACCACATTGAGGGTTTCATTCTTCTTGTTGAGAAACTGCAGAGTGTTCAAGCAAGAGCGTATGTCGCATTCTGTAACCCCCAAAGAAAAGGCAAAAGATAGTAGATATATTTAGGAAGTCTTCTCTAATTAGTTAAGAGTAATATGAGATCATATTCATCGGCAATATATCACATTGAGGACCAAACAAAAATGAACATATGGAAAGGGAGAAAGATACCAGTGTAATCCGCAAGTGCACTAAGACCGAATGATCTTGTTGTCATCCCCTCCATGTTACAAATGTACTTGAGCCTGTCATTATACATTTCAGCCTAGTAAGGCAATTGATAGACTAAATAGAATTTGAATATAGTTCACTGATTCTAATGCAACATACAAATCATTAAGGAGCTATTTTTACATATTCAATCGCATCTTGTGGAAAGTTAAATTTCCAGACAATCACATCTTGTGGAAAGATAAGAGAGGAAACTAGTCTTACAGGTGACTGATAGTTGGACTTAACAGTTATCAATGACTGTACGTCTACTTACCAAAATGGAAGGGAAAAAAACTAAAAAGAATTATTCTCTCGCGCAACAAAGTAAGAATTAGTTACCTGTTTACCACACGACTCACTGTTGGTTGAACAAATATATGAACCCTGCACGAGAAGCACATGAGCTTATCATCATACTAAGAGGCAAAGGTTTATCTAGAATGAGAATCTGATAGGCAGATATACTCAAATACCTGTCATAGACAATAAAACATTTGCAAAGCAGTATGCTCTACGTAAAATAGTGCTAGCATCACCAAACATACAGCAAAAGTAGACGCTCTAAGCGAACAGAAAGTCAAACTTACTTTGCTATTTGACGCAGAGGTCTAAGAGCTGGTGCATATAAGTCATTACATATACAAATGACGGGTCTTGATAGTGGTGCTGTTCGCCGCTCTTTCTTGGAGGAAGTCTTCCCATTATCTATATTTTCCTTGCCTGTAGCATGCTTCTTTTCCGCTAACACCTATGCAGTGAAGATACAATTAGATACTAAAATGCTATCACCTAGTTTTTCCCGAATTGGACTTCAAGACTTCAAGCAAATGTGAAATTGAAATAAAGATTAAGAGAAGTAAAGAGGTCTATTAGCCAAATCTTTCTTATAACGGTCAAATGAGTAAAGGGTCGATAGTCAGTATTTGCCAAACTTAGCCTAAATTTCAGAGCCCAGTTCAAGCATAAACATACATACCATCTTTAGAATAACATCTACTGCTCCTTTTCCATCACCAAGAGCTCCATCTATCTCATCAATCACCTACATAATTATTCGTAAGTCTCTTCTTCTTCAGGTAACTGAGTAAAAAGGTCTCTAGCGAACATAGAGTAAGCCAAGCATACCAAACATTTAGGTCTCGAGTCAGCTGTGACAGAGTTCATCTGAACTACATCAAGAATTCTAGTTTCAATGGCTGCTGCTGATCGCTCGTCACTAGCATTGATCTGCAGAATAACACATGTTGAATCAAGCCTAACAAACTAGAACGGAAGAAAGAGAAGCGTGCACATAGAGAAATAAAGCAGCAGCAGAGGTAATGAAGAATCATATCGTTCAGAAATTATAACATTGATATTAATCAATGAACTCCATGCAAAACAATAAGAAATTAAACAACGATATGCCCCAGCTTATATTCAAGAACTTAACTAGCGAAATTAAAAATTTGGCTTGGGAAAGTAAAGGGTATACAAGAATACCTCAACAATGCGATATCCACAATGCTTAGCTGCAACATGAGCAAGCGTAGTCTTTCCAAGCCCTGGGGGACCACAAAGCAGAAGAATCTACAACAGCCGTGAAAATTAACTTTTTATACCCGATCATACTAGTGGTTTTAGTATAAGAGAACGACAAACATCTTATTAAAAAAAGGTTTGAAGTCTAAATTAGTTTATCACACCTTCTGCTCTGGAGGACCAATAAGTTTTGACTTTTTGTTCCGCAAGTCATGATTATCTGTATCGTTGCTATTACTCACGTCTGAATTTTTAGGAAATGAAGAATTCTCCTTACTCCATCTATTGAACTGATTTTTCCTTGTGAAAGCTGAATCTGATTTTTGACGATGGCTTGGTGTAGAATGCCGTTTCAAAGCTGACAATACTTCATCTGTCGTGCTCCTAATTTCAGATCCAAAAACAGAAGCATCCCACTGCTTAAGCCATAACAGAACCTGCACATAAAATTTATTGCATCAACTACTGATTCTTGATTCATCTAATTTGCCCAGAGTCTTTACTAAGACATACAAAATACCTCCCGATTGGTCTGCTCATCACTGAGAAGCTCAGTAAATGAGCTCGGAGAATACTTATCCACCCAGAGCTTTTCATGCATTACAGATGTTTCTGGAGTGATGGTTTCATTCTGATCCTCGGAACTAGCTCGCAAGACCTTCATCGTTAAAACAAAAACATATACTGTTTAGGAGGGAACATAACTATCATCCATTCAATACTCGGCAAACAAAAATTAGTAAGAAACTCACCTTGTTAAAAGCCTCTTTCTCTGATTGTTCTAGAAGAACACTGATAGGATCTTTAATAAGACCTACAAAAGATTAAAGAATGCTACCTTTAGAGGAAAATAGAGTTCTTGCCAGAAGATTGTATGCCCCCACAAAGAAATCAAGAAATAGAATGAAATTACCACACACACACACAACTATGAGCCTAAGACCAAACAAACAACATATTCTAAAGCTAGACTGACTATATAAACCTATAACCTTGCGATTTGAAGCTTAACTAAAAACTTAGTACCATTAGATTTGGCTTTCACATCCAACTTCTTCACCTCTTCATCTCCCAAAGCTCGGTTGAATCTCGCATAAACCCTATCTCCTCCGTCCGGAGCCGTAATCGGAAAACACTCCCCGTCTATCTCAGAAGCATACCTGAAAATTCCAATAACGAAATTACTAAAATAATAAAATAAAACTCCCAATAACGAAGAGTATTGACCTGGACAACATAGTCTCCTGTGGAATGAACACTTCTTCTTCCTCCTCCATAACATGAACAACTTTCTTAACAGTCGGTACTCGTAACCATTCCTCATCTTCAATCTCTCCCCGATTATCATCATCGATTTTGCTTCTCTTCTCAGCGGCTTCGTCGAGATTGAGAATCGGATCGGACACTAGACTCCTGGGCCGTTTACAGCCGTTGATGTCAGGAGGAGATTCCGATCGAAGGAGATTAGCCTCCTGATCTTCTTCTTTTTCTGCATCGGTTTCGATTGGGTAAGGATACGGCGCCTCCTCGTAGTTTAGGTAGTCATCATCTTCTTCTTCGGGATAGTAAGAGTTCGCTTCGAGAAGCTCGAGCTCCTCTGGTAATGGGATGTCGAATTCCATTTCCTGATTCGATCGGAATCTTGTGGAGGATCGGTGTGCGGAGGCTTAGAAGTGGCAAATCGGAATCTGGTGGTTAGAGCTTAAGCGGGAAATGAGAAAGAGTTTTTAGCGGGAAAGGTGTGGAAGTATAATCTCAAAGTAAGGTTTAAGGCCCATTAAGCTTTAGGCCCATTTATCTGAAATAGGCTTTGTGAAACATGTAACATCTAAAAATATCAACCGACAAAATGGTTTTGAGACAGAGATCGTTTTGTGTTAAGCCCCGATTTGCTGGTCAACAGAGGTGGTCAGAACTCGAAAGATACAGATTTTGAACTTTGATGACCTTTTACGTCAATATAATAATCATCATTATCTTAGTCAAATCACCACCAATAAGCAGTCATCAGTGGACAAAATCATTTAATAGTTTTTAGATCTCTTAGGGATCAACGTCATCAGGTGCAGTGCAAGTAATATAGCAAACGTGAAAAGCTTACATATATATATATATATATATATGTCTATCTATACAAAAACCAATTCAAGCAGAAACATTAGAATGATGATGATGATGATAGGACAATAAAAGGAAAAAGGCAGTAGTACGATGTACCGAATGAGAAAGATCTCAAGAGAGTTTTGAATTTTCCAGGGGATTTTAACACTTGAAACCATGGCAGACTGAGAGCACGATTATGAGAATCAGTGCGATGATGATGGCGAGAACTATGAGTTTAATCTTCATGTTCTGAAACCACATCTTTCTTCTCATCTGCGTCCCCGTTGTTCTGAAATCTTGTGCCTGCAGCAGTTCGAGATTAATCAAACAAGAGATAGGACAATATGGTGAACCAGCTTCTTATTATGTATAAGTATGCAGGAGATAACAGCATGAGAATCAAACCTGTGAGCGAAGGTTCTCGGTTTTGTCCACCAAAAGCTCAATTTTCTCACCACGGTCAAGAACCTACAAATAAATTTAACAGCAAAAGCATGTGTTACATTGGTAAAGATGTGATCCCAAAACAAGAGATTTGGTAGCTTTGTATTACTAGAAAATCTCTCTTCGAAATACAAAAGGGATAAACATCAACCGACAAAAACAAAAGGGACAGAATCCAACCTTCTCGATGTTTTCCATCATAACACCCTTAACTTCAGAGACTTGAGCCTTCACCTTAGCAAGCTTGCTAATCTCATCAGGATGATCCATACAATACTGCATGTGCTCTTTCAGCTTAGACCTTCAAAAACAACCCAAAAAAAAAGAGTCAGTCCAAGAGTAGTGTAGAAAATAACACAACAGAAGCAAAAGAAAAAAAAATACACACCCAAACTCTTTATTCAAACTGTTCGCTTGAGCAGTTGCAGCCTTTCCCCCACCATATCTCTTGTTAAAATCCTCTTTCACTCTCTCCAAAAATGCCATCGGAATCTGCCTCCCAGCAGACTCAACCGCAACAACACAATAGGCTGCACATCAACAAAGAACAAAAATTAATCTCATAATAGCCGGACACAGCAGAAAACAAATAAATCAAGACGCAAAAATTTAATACCATACAACAAAAAAAATATCTTCACAAAAATATTATAATCAGACTCCTAGATTCATTGAGAGTGAAGCCATTCAAACATCATAAACAGAGAAAACAAGAGAAACAAACTATATATCGAGATCTAAACCCTAAAGAGGCGATAGATTCTCGCGCAAATACGCGGTGAAACATACAAACACGAGAAATGGCTTACTGAATCCATCTTCGACGAGGTAGTTGAAGGTGTGACCGTCGCAGTTGTAAGTGAACTTGTTGTTGGAAGAGGGGAGCTTCTGGAGGCACTGAGCAGCGATGGATGTGAAGTTGCCTTTGAAATCTGTGAACTCCACGAGGATCACCGTGCCACGTGCCACGAAACTGTAGATCAACGACTGTTGCTGCGACATTTTTTTGAACCCTTTAGATCCTCGATCCGATCGACCGACTAAACCAGAGGATTTTTATGGGCTGGCCGCGAGAAACTACAGATCTATTAGGACTAACAACCAACAAAACGAGGACTAAAGGTGAGAAAAGGAGACGAAACAAAAAATAGAAAATGAATCAAAGGGTAAAATAGTCATTTGTCTAAACAGTGAGTCAGAAAAAATCAAAAAATATATATAGAAACTAAAAAAGAATAGGAGGAGTAGATAACAATTTCAAAATGGAAAGACCAAATCTCGAGATATTTTGACCCATTTTGCTGCCCGGATCCGGCCAAGCAGCTCGTGGACCCTGCTAATGGCAAACTTTGTAATTTAATTTCATTTTACGACAAGTTTTATGTACCTTAGTCGACAAGAAACACAAAGTCTGTCTTTTTCTAAACTTTGAATCAACCATTAGAGAAAGAGGTCTTAATAATACAATTTTTTAGAAGTGAGTGAATATAATAATTCAGTCTTTAAACTCTTAAAAGAAGACAAATTTATTTTAAATGAAGAAAATAAAAATAGAGATTGAAAATCTTGCTGTTAAGTTTGATAAAGAAACAATGTTCAAAAGTTTTTTTTTTACTTTCGTTGAACTTCTTCTAAAAAATAAAGGATGTTGTGTAAGAGATTATTTGAAAGATCATTTCCCTGATAAGTGCTTATCATCTATATATAAATTGAATGAGTATACTATAGAATCATGCTGTATCATTCATGTACTAGGAAGTCTTTTCCATCATTTGAATGATATCAATCATGTAAGGTTATCAACTATGATTGATCATCTTGAAATGCATATAGTTACACAATTAGTTCTATTAGATAGGAGCTTAAATGCACATAATAATGTATCCTATTATGGATTGAAGTATCTCAAACTGGATGATTATGTCATATATGATCAAAATACAACTATTAAGATTATAAATTATATTCTAGGTAAGAAGTTAGTTGAATTCATGACAGAGAGAGGTATTATCACAATACTAAATAAGGGTAATGAGAAAGTGAATTACAAAACTGAAGGTTATAAAGATAATCTTTTGTATGTTGAATGTGCTTTTGACATCAACCTACTTCCTATAAAACTCAATCTTCCTATGATCAGGCTCAGCCCACCTGTTGATTAGTATAGTATCAAAAAGGATAATAATCCAAACGTGCCTACTTATATGAGTGATATTAAAGGTGGCTATTTCGTTGGTGCTACAGGAGAATTCTACAAAAGATTTAAATTATTAACTTCTGAGAATATAGATAGGTTCTATCTTTCTTTCAAAGAAAACCCTAAAGATCTGTTAATGATCTTATCTACCCTGCAGAAACAAAAATTTGTAATCAAATACATCATTGTTGAAATTTATCAAAGATAATCGTTTTGCCTTAAGAGAATGTGGATCTTCTTATTTGGTTTCTTGGTGAAGAATCAACGGTTATAAAAGCTTGTGAATGAATCTGCTGAGAGGCAGATACCAATGGAAGAGAGCGAGAGAGAGAGTTGTTTGACATTACAGTTAAGAAGGATACAAAAACAGCTTACAAGAAGTAAACTAGATTCACTACATTCTTCTACATGAAAAGTTCCTATTCAGCATTCAAATCAACATCGAATCATCATCAACAAGCCAGTTGATCTCTCAATGGTAAGATCTCTTCGAAAATAGGAAGTCTTCTCGTCCTTAAAGGTCTCCTCCACTCTTTCATAAACTCATCAATCCCTTCAACAACCGCAATCTCATCCATACCAACTTCACATTCCACAGAAGCTACAACACCTCCACGTGGCTCTACCTCACTCATCAGCTCTTGAACTCGAACCTTCAACCTCGAATCATCACCAAACCCTTCTTTCTTCTCCTGTAACACATCACGAAACAGAATCGTCCTCGCTTCATCGACCTTCCCTTGCTTGATGAGACATGTGCATAGATTACAAGCCTTGTTAGCATCAGGCTCTATAACTTGAGCTTTACGGTACACGGTTTCAGCCGCTGTGTAGTCCTTTAGCTGCATATAAGCCCATCCCAAGTTTCCCTGTAAACACACAAGTTCCCCATCAGCTTTCAATAATAAAAACCTCTATATAACATCACTGAGATTAAACCGTACCAAGATCCTAGAGGTCTCCTTCTCGACCGTGACCTGAAACTTCTTCCCATGAGATCTCGCCGTCTTTGTCGGCTTCCCATTGAACGCTTCTCCTTGGTATATCATCCAAAGCTTCTGTTTTAGTAACTCAACTTGCTCTTCTATCCTCCCACACTTCTGCTCAAATTTCAAAAATCTTGTCAATTTTTTAAAATATCAACAAACAGAATTGGTTGTTTGTTGGTCTGAGAAATGTTTTGTACCTTGTAGAGATCGATGAGGACATTGTCGAGTGATTCTTGAGCTTGTCGTGAACAAAGATCTCTAAAGCACTGAATAGCTTCAATAGCTTCATCAGCTCTGTTTTGTTGTTTCATAAGCAAAGCCATGTCTTTAAGAGCACTATCTACTCTGTCTCTCGCTCTAATCGCTTTCCAGAACAGCTCTATCGCTGCTTCTGCATCCTTCTCCACAAGCTGACCATACGTAAATAATCAAATAAATCAATATTTTTTTTCATTTTTTCTCTAACAAATCTCTCTACAGTGAGATATATTTATTTATTTATGTACCTGAACATGTTTTGCTCGGACATAAGGACTGTCACCGTGAGGTAGCTTATGAACAACGTTGTAGTCTTGTCTTTCTCCTCCTCTTCTAAGACTCATCATCCTTAACTCTCTCTGTTATCTAAATTTCTAAATGAAGAAACAAACTTTTTTCTCTCTATCTCTTTCTCTCTCCTTAAAGCGGTAACACCGTTCTGTGTCTATCTATCTCTCTCTAGGGGTGTGTGAGAGGAAAGTAGATATATTGTGGGAGAAGAAGGAACCTAGACGGAGTTCTGTCTTGGTTCATTATTGTCAACTGGATCTAAAATACCGCGGGCTGGTCGTCTTTTAAACCTATGGTTTTCAGCCACGTGGCATATCCGTCCCCATTATTCTCACACGACTTCGACTTGGCCAATATTTTGTTTTTTTTTAGTTGGGTCTTTTAGAATATTTTTAAAAATTTTAGCCCATGGTTATAACTTGCCACCTAACCATATTCTCTGCTGGATTTTGTTACTATTACTACCTTATCCTTAATGTTAAACTGTGACATTTGTTTTATATTGAATTAAATGTTTGGCCGACTGTTTTTTCTATAACGTGGAGATTCCTAAAGGAAAATGTCATAGATTATTTAAAGTGTCCAATGTTTTCCACCGTTTGCATTTTTTTACTGGTGTGAAATGTTCGGAACTGTAGTAGTGACAATAAAGAGTATTACAGTTTCAATAAATTAATTTGGATTGAAATTGTATTGTTTTGAGGTGTTTTTTCTTAGATTTTTTTAATAAAAAGTTGAAAAACTTATTCCACAATAAATCTTATATATTAAAACAGAAGTTACAACCTTAATTTATATATGTTTTTTAAAAATTTTGGACCCTCTTAAGAAATCATTTAACATGCATTTGTTACTAATAATATGGCTTAATTATAATATTTGTAATATAACAACAACTCCTATAATAACGATTTGGAACAAACCCGCCCATGACTCCTTATTAAATTATACATATTGCTAATGTATACTTACAATACAAAGACCATTCAACTAATTTAAACAATATATATATATATATATAAACATTTAAGTATATGATTAACGTTAGAAATAAATATATCAATTATGTTTTAAAAAATATTTATGTATATTAAAATTAAAATAAACATCTGCGCAATTACGCGGATTAAAATTTAGTGTGATCTAAAATTGAAAAATTAGGTGATATAGCCAACAAAAAAAATCTATAATTCACTAAATAAGTAAATTTATACTATCCTCTTTAAAAAAAAAAAATCTCTCTACATTATTTTAATAAATTTTTTTTTCTTCTTTTAGCTATTTCAGAAATAAACCCTTTTAATATTTAAAAAAAAAAAATCTTTAACTATTTCAAAAATAAATCCTTTTAATATTTACAAGGTTCCACTCTTATATTATAACCGCAAAAAAACGAAAATAAGTGACATATCGTTTATCTCATTTTTATTTTAAGGTCACAAATATCTCTTCACCTGTAATGTGCATCTCTGAAAGCGAGATGAACCTACGTGTCAGTCAGGCGGCCGTACGTGTTGCGCGTTTACTTTTTCCCCCGACGACTTAGCTTTTATTTACAGGTCCCATAGTTTTCAAACTACACAGATTTGCCACTCAACTTTTATTTAGCTGGTTTCCAAAAATATTATTGATTTGCTCATTTGCATTTACTTTTTTTTTTTAATTTAAATTATCATTTATATCGTGTGATTCCATTGAAATCAAATGATGTGAAACGAATCAGAATGACATATAGGCCATAATGGAAACATCATAATGATGATTCATTCCAAAGCCACGCCTCAGGTTCTTTGTTTAGCCGTTATTATTACCAATTATGGCCCATTAAGTGCAAACATACCTTCATCTTTTTCATTTGCGTATATAATACATACTTAATATAGTATGCCGTATATGTGAATATGTTGTATATTTGTGTAGACAAGTACTATATTTAGCATACCAAGTAGAGGATGACACCCTTTGAGTCTACAATACAAACAAAAGAAATCAAATTTCAAAATAATTTTTTTTTTTTAGCAAATCAAATTTCAAAATAAATAAATAAAAGAAATCGAAAGTTGTTTGGCTGTACAGCTAGAAATTGGAATGTTGATATTGTCTACTTTCAACTTTCAGTCATTTTTGTTTTTTTTTTAATAAATCAATCACTAATCATTTGTGTGATATTGTCTATCTGTTAGACTAATGTCTAGTTACTCATATAATGTATACAATTACACTTCATAAATCACAGTACTGTATATTCTATGTGACTGATTTACTATAATTCTATAAAGTATGAGAAATATGATAAGAGACATTCAAGCAACATGCCGGTAGTGAGGAGCTAAGTTGCTGTCAAAATATAAAGGTTTCTATACGAAAATCAATTAGTTGTAACTAGCTAATCACGTTTAGTTTAAAATGTAGTGTGTTTAGAGTAAATGATTCGAATTAGTGCTTTTTATATAATAGACAACGCTCAACTGGACCAGCTTTGTGTGTGTTTATAGATCTGATAGGAGCTCATAAATGTTCTTTAACTCGAAAAAGAAACAAGGAAACCCCACAAAAGCCTTCCCATATGCCAAAAAATGCATCATTGCCTAAACCCACAAGCATTCACCATCAACACTAATTACACTCTTTATCTTTCTTTCTTTCTCATATCTTTCTTTTTTATTACCTTCTCTCTTCATTCTCATCTTAAAACCCTAATTAAACAAACCAAAACACACAAGTTTATTTGTCTTTTTGATCATAATAGTTAGAAGCGGTTCTTTGTCTAGTTTGTACTCAAGTCTCGGATCATTTGATTTGGACCACCTGGCGACGTTAACAAGAGAAAAGTGTTCGGCTTTGGTCCGGTCTTGTTACGTACCGTCGAAGACTACTTGCTCTGACGACATTATTAGCAAACAGAACACCAAAGTGGAAGATGGTCTTGGCTTCCGAGGAGGAGGAGGTGGAAGAAGACGATTGCCAAATAACCAGCCGTCAAAGAGACATGGAGGAGGAAGAAGCTGCACAGCCGTCTCCAGCGAGCCTTGCCATCTCAAAAGCAACCTCAAGATCAAAACAGAGGCCGATAAAGGGTTGGAACAGAGGAAAGTAAGCTGGCCTGATGCTCATGGCAAAGATATTGCTCATGTTCAAGAGTTTGAGCTTAGGTAACAACCTACACTACACATAAACATACTTCTTGATTTTGTTTAACGTAACGTATCTCATTCTTATAAGACTAAAAAACTCTGTAAGAAAATCATGTAGTCGACTTTAGTACCAGACCGGTTAAGTTCGGTTATTCAGGAAACAATATTTACCAGTTTACCTTAAACCCGTACGAGGACACTAATCTGCTCTTTTGATTTGCAGCGCATCTGAGGATGGAGAGCATGCAGGAAAGTCTAAAAGAAAATATTGTGGTGTCTGTATAATCCAATGACTAATATTATTATTATCCTTTTGAGTTTCTTTTGCCTTTTGGTTGTTTTTTTTACCACTGTCTGAAACGAGTTGAAGTAGTGAAACAATGTTGAATCTCCCCCATCAAATTGATCTCATTCAGATTATTTCAAGAAGATGATTACATATATAATAATCATCTCCAACGATTTAAAAACACAAAAGCCAAAAGAAAAGAATCATAAGCATACATTAAGTCACAAACAACATCATTCCTCCCCACTATATATTTAATTATATTTGTTATTTTTTTTTCCTGGTTTTTGGTAATTACCAGTAATAATCATAATAATCAGCTAGATCATATTCCAGTATTTTCTTTTAAATGTTTTGATGGAGAGAGACAAGTAAGATCCTCTCTTACTTGTGGTTTTCTTCAGCTGTTCTGTGCTGACTTGCTCTTCTTAGCTTTATTCTTCTCTTGTACCTTCTTTTTCTTCTCTTCAGATGTGATCCAGTTGTATCCCTTTGGAATTGCAAATGGGTCTTGATCATTTTCAACTTTACCAATACTAAACCCTCCCGTAACATTGGAGCTTGTTGATGGACGTTGACTCGGTGTTTTGATCCATTGAAACCATGAGGAGGAGGATGAGCTTGATGAGAACTGTGCTTCCTCTCTAGGACTGTTCCTGACGTTAGAAGTAGGGCTTGATGGTGGTGTCACAAACTCATCTTCAATAGCTTCTAACTCTTCAAACTTTGTGAATGTAACCAATACTCTAATCGTAGGGATCACCGGTATAGCCACCTGCAAATACAAATATAAATGAAATGAGTTAAGTACTGACTAAAATGATGATGATGCTGACTGAATGTTAAACAGACCTTGACAGGGAATGTTCCGGAGGGTAGTTTAGTGGTCATAAGCTCTCTTAAACGCCGAATAGCTTTGACTTTGTTTGCAAGGATATCAAGAAGTGGAAGAAGCTCCTTTGTCTGTAATGGGAATCTCTCAGAAAGCCAAAGAACTGGTCTAAGTCCTTTCTTGTACTCGTTCTCTCTGCTACTACTACTACCTTCCTTTCTTTTACTACTTCCACTTCCTTCTGATGTTGAAGCTTTTGACGAAGAATCTCTCGTAAGAGTATCAGCTGTTGAATGTCTACCAGGTTTTACCTGTCTCCCATCATCCTCAAGAAGATCACTTACTTTCTCATCAACACAAAGAGAACTTCTCGGAGGAACACTACTTCGTTTGTTGTGTCCTTCCTCTCGCTTCCTCCACCCACTAAACCAACCTTTCTTCTCCTGTTTACAATAGCCATTATTCCCATCCATTATTGGAATGTCCCGGTCCTGAGGAATAATCCTCTCGCTGTTAAAAGACCCTCCTTCTGGTGAATCCAGCTTGAGTGCTAACTCTAGCTGCTTCCTCTCATCTTCCGTCAACACATCTCCAAGATCCTCACTCTCAGTTTCATTCTCTTGATTATTATTATTATTCGAGAAAAGCTCCTCATCAGTCATAGCACCGGGGACTCTCCTTGACTTTATACTAACAACCACATTATGCATATCATAAACTTTAGCTTTCCACTCCCCAACCATCTCACTCTTCTCCTGACGTCTCCACGTCAACTGCGGAAACAAAACCGCTTGAGTCACATCAATCCCTGGTCTGAATATACTAGTTTTCGACATAGCAGCCACTTCTTGCCGAACCTCATCTTCAGAAGCAGGAGCACCAGCACCATCCAACGCATTCATAATCTCCTTATCTTTATGAGATATCATAAGGAGAGAACCAGAAGGAACTTTACCATCTTCAGACCCATCTCCAAGGAAAAGTATAGTCTGATCAGATCTCTGTATCCTGAAGCCATCGAATCCAGCTAACGTCATATCCGCTCTAAGGTTAGCACCTCTCTTCCAAATCTTGTAAGTATCAGAAGGCGCAACTCTAGAGATAAAAGGTATCACCGAGCTCTCGAAATGAAAAGTAATCTCCATGTAAAAATCTCTCATCCTATGCATCGTAGCAACAAGCCTAGGCAACCTCCTACACCATTTAGCCCACGCTAAAGGCTGATAATGCCTAACAATTATCATAGCGATCCTCTCCTCTCTACCGCAGATAGCTTCTTGCAACGCGCTCCACCCTTGCTCGTTCTGCAAACTCCAATCAGCTCCGGAAGCCATAAGCATCTCAGCTGAAGTCTCATCACCGAGCTTCACAGCTAAGTGAAGAGCAGTGTCTCGGTTAATGACGTCACGTCTGTCTATAACGGACGCGATTGAATCAGCTTTTGTCTCTTCAGCGACAGAAGCTGCTTCGTTTTTGACTTCGGAAGGGTCACGCATCTTGGGGAGAGCAGAGAGTAGCTTCTTGAGAGCGGTGTAGTCTCTTGTAACCACAGCTCGATGAACGGGACTATGACCATAATTTGTAACGTCAATGACGCTTGCCATCATCTCAAAGACTCAATCTTTTAACCAAACATCTAATAAAGTCGAGAACTTTCAATCACTCAGCAACACAGATCAAGAGGATTTGGAAGCTAATCAGCTAAACTATATAAGTAAAAGGGAGAAAATGATTCTCGACTTTCTTTGAACGGCAACGTAAAAGATTCGTTGCTTCCGAGGAATCAGATCCGACCCACCAGATCGGGAAAAAACCTACCCGAGAAGATAGCTTGGAGAGATCTAAGGGAGAAGATGAAGTAGGAAGAAAGGAATATAAATTAGAGAGAGAGAGAGAGGCAGAGGAACCGTTTTGGGGTGTGTCTCTCCAATGTGGGAAGGTTCAAAGTCCGGTCGGGAAGCTTACACGGAATCTGGGAAGACTATTTAGATATGATAACCGTTAAAACCTTCTTGTCTTGAAAAAGATATTAGGACAACAAAATTAACTACTGTCCTAATGACAGTAATTAAAATTATTAAAAAAACAAATTAATTACTAGTACTAGTAACTAAAATTATTTATTTGACCAAAAAAATCTATTTAAAAACAAATTACTGAAACTAAACGAAATAGTTGTAATTAATAAGTTTGGTGAATAATTATTTTATATGCTAGATAAAAAATATAGTGGAAATATTTTAAATTGGATTCAGAAAAATCCAAATTAAGCAAAAAAAAAGAGAGAGAGGATATTTCCTCGAATAATTCATCAAGAAACCGCCAAAAATAATTGGTTTTGAGGCAATTGGTGACTTGATTATCCCAATAAATGATTATTGTACGATGTGTGTTTTCTTAGTTTTGCCGTCATTAAACTAATCTCAAACAAGTACATTGTTGTCATACAGAACTTGACAAAGTTATGTGATGAATATGTAGACTGCGTGTATAGTTTATATAATTCTTGTGGAAAATAATAGCCAATTAAATTTGACTTGAAAACATTTGTTTATCATTAAGAAGAAAACACACGTTATTGCATTTAAACGTAGAATTTAAAGGTAAGCATGAGAAAAAAAACTTTGAATGTGATTGAAAACTTATAACTGCTCTATAACTACCTTAACCATCATTACTAGTCCAATAAATTAGTGGGCCTATAAATGAGTCTAGTGCCAGCCCAATATTGTAAATTTGAGATCCATAACCCGACACCCGACCCGGAACTCTGTGAGGTCCAATCGTTGCAGCGGATAGCAAGAGGGGCGGAGATAGATTAATCTTTAGCTGCTTTTCGCTTCGCGTCGTAAAATTAGGGTTTCGTCTCGCTCTGCAGAATCAAAATCAATCGGGTAATCTCCTCTCTCCTTTCGTTTTTGTTCATACTATGATTATTAGGTTCCTGTGGAGGAAGAAGAATTTCGTTTTTGGTGTATCGAAATTCGAATTCCATCATCTAAATTTCCCAGTTTCGGTTACGATAATATTAAAATCATGTGAAATTGTTCTTGTTCGACTGTAATTCGCTTGAAAATAGTTATCGTTTGTTGAAATCATGTGTTGTTTGATTCTCTATGATCTTAACCTAAGAGGAGAAAGTAGTGTAAAATCTCTGTTCATGTATCAATAAGTATTATACACTAATCTAAATATCTCGCTTCAGAATCTCCATTGCTATTATACAATCATGTTCTTATTTGGTTTAAACTGTTTCAGGATGGAGAACATTGACCTTGACATGGTAATCAGCATACCTGACACACCAGATAGACCTGTACATCGTGCTTCTGCTGTAACCAGAGAGGTTAACAAAAGACCACGTTCTCCAGAAGCACCCGTTAGATTTCGAAGAGAAGAACACCGTCATCATCACCCCAACGGCAGAGCTAGACCAGTCTCTGAAGCTTCTACCGAGCACCTACATCATCGCTCTCGTGCTTCTGGAAGCAATGCTCTGTTCAGGAGAACAGCAGTTGAGAAGGATAAAGGGAAATCCATCTGCACTGATCCTTCCCCTGCTCGGGTTGGGGAACGTGATGGACATGCTCTGTTTACTACTGCATCGAGATGCTTGCCATCTGAAGATGTAAGAGAAGTGCGGCCAAGTAATGGTTCTACTCCTAATAAGGGTAAAGGAGTTGTAGAGTGTGGCTCTGATAGAGAAACGATTAATCTTTCCAGTGAGAAGAAACCTGTTAGAGGCACTAGGAGACTGGTGAGAAATGGGTGTATATCTCCACATGCAATAGCAGCTAGAGCTAGACAAGGTGTTGATGATACCAATACCAAGGATAGAGTTAGTGTTGAACAGGAACTAGCTCTTGAAGCTGCATCTTCTATTGACATTAGGGACATTGTTTCTGATAGTCATATTCGCGGAAGAGCTAGAGAAAAAAGACCAGAAATCCCCCCAAGCAGGTAATGTTTCTTACTTTCACCAGATGTTTGAGTGGATTTAAGACGGATGTTTTTAATTTATTTGGTTGCTAAAAGAGTTTTGTATCTATGTTAATAGGGTGGCTAGTAGAGATGCCTCAGAGGGATGGGTTAGTACGCGCGGCCGGAGTTTAAATTTCGACCATGAAATGGATAGGAGGGATGAGAGTGACGCACGTGGAACTTGTAGTTTCGTTTCAGGACTTGATGTTCATGAAACAGGTGCAGTTGACAGAGAAGAAGCTAGACCAAAACGGCGACGGAAAAATGGAGTTACTCCTTCGAGGGTTGAGACACAGGCTTCTGTTACTGGGGAACCATCTAGCTCAAGGCCACATAATTATCAAAGACGAGGCAGACAAGTGTTGGAAATTGAAGATTCATCTCCTGATGTAAGGGTCTCCCGGGCTTCTAGACGTGTTGAAAACGATGAATCTGATGTGAAAGCAAGACAGATAGAAGCAGATGAGCTGATGGCTCGTGAACTGCAAGAACAGATGTACGCAGAATCGACAATGAGAAGCGAGCAGGTACTTTTCCGGAGCCTTCGTTTTTTTTATTCTGGATAGTGGATATCCTTTATATGTTCCATCCTTTGATAAAGGTTTATAATAGTCTTATTTTACCTTCATATGTTGTAACAGATGGACGAAACCATTGCTAGGTTGATGGAAGAAGAAGAGAATACTCTCCGTGCTTCTTCTAGCCGTGCTTCTACTCGTAACACCAGAAGCTCTAATACCGTAAGTCACAAACTCTAAACGGTCCTGTATTAGTGATTTCTTCACCTGGTGCTATATATTTCATGTGTTGGGATGCGAGACCTATCATTGTTAAACATGGACTTGTTCTTTCTTAAACTTGCATTTGAAATGACTCTGGGTTTAGGAGCTCAACAGTTACTTATGCTAATAATACATATAATTCACAGACTGCAGCAGATACAAGTGGGAGTAGTCGCGTGGAAGAACGACCGCAACAGCATTCATCTCGGAGGCGAATGAATCCTCCACAGGCTCGTCTTGCTGTTGGAGCACCACGACGGGCTAGAGCTCCACATTTAGGCCGTGCACGTACATCACGACACGGAGCTATGAATTTCAATTTTCCAAGTAGCATGGGCGTAGAGTTGGTAATCTTTTTGATGAACTCTGTTGAACTTCCAGTGTCGCGTGAAACTAAGATTTAATTTTTTACCCTCTATTTGTAACAGAGAATGGACTATCTGGAGCATCTGGAGAATGTTATTGGACACTCCATCAACAATAGTAATCTTCTTCACATGGATCGTGACTTTACCGAGTATGCTATCTGTCTCTCATCATTTACCATATGTTCTTCAGTAATTGGAACTTAAAAGAATCTTTTTGACATATTTTGGATGCAGAGATGATTACGAGTTGCTGCTAGCTCTTGATGAAAACAACCATCAACATGGGGGTGCTTCTACAAGTCGCATTAACAACTTGCCAGAGTCCACAGTTCAGGTTAAGCAAACGTTCACTTGTAAAATCCATTTTATTCATATCGACATATCGTTAATAAACCTTTTCTCTTTGGTGTTTGTATGTGTAATTTGCAGACCGATAATTTTCAAGAAACATGTGTAATTTGTCTGGAAACACCGACGATTGGAGACACTATCCGTCATCTTCCTTGTTTCCACAAGTTCCACAAAGATGTAAGTATCTCTACTGGTTCAAAACAAAGACAACCCTTTGTAAGATCACAAATTTAAAGAATCAACCATTGTTTATACGATATGAAAGACTTGTGTCTATGTGTTATGCAGTGTATTGATCCGTGGCTAGGACGGAGTAAAGCATGCCCGGTTTGTAAATCCTCCGTCACTTGAGCAAGGTTTTGCAGCCATACAGAAGAATGTTTACAAAATTACCCTCGTACCCTTCTCGACCGGATGATTTGATTCTGGGGGCTATTCTCTCCGGAATCATTTTGCTGATAAGCCAACATTATTTGTCACCGTCGAGTTTGAAACACATTAAAACTGAGGGTTTACTACTGTTTATGCCCGAGAAAGTTGATTAGTTTGTTGTGTGTTTAATACTCTTCTAGCTAAGAGCTGTTCTGTAGATTAAGCAGTTGATTTTAGTTCTGTTAATTTACGATTAATCTTGTTTCTATATTACGCCTCTTTCTTCTTCCCAATCAAGCGCAGAAATCTTCATTACGTAAGTGGTAGTGATTATATCATCTCGAAAGTCATAAACACTTTAAAAACCGTGAATGCATGTAATTAACTTTTATTCACTCGAAGTGGTACAAGATACAATCATTCTAAAAGTAAAACGGCATACAGTTGCCATAAATTAAAGAGAAACGACATACATATACTTTATCATATTATAATCAACTTTTAAGGAATTAGTTATTCGTAAATGACAATATTACATATATTATGCATGGGATTTGTAGCTCCTCGTCAATGCACATGACAAACCCTCAGTGACCTCCACCCACGCCTCCGCCTACTCCTCCACCAGTTCCACCGCCGGCTCCTCCCACGGCACCTGCACCACCGCCTGCTCCTCCCACGGCACCTGCACCACCGCCTGCTCCTCCCCCACCATCAGTACCACCAACTCCAGCTCCAGCACCTCCAGTGGTACCACCACCAACTCCAGCCCCAGCCCCTCCACCAGTACCACTACCAACACCTCCTCCAGCTCCAGCTCCTCCACCGGTACCACCACCAAATCCTCCACCGCCGCCAAAGCCTCCTTCTCCCCCTCCAGCTCCTTTACCAAATCCACCGCCTATTTGACCACTAAAGCCTCCAATCCCGCCTCCAATCCAACCGCTGCCACCTCCTGCTCCAAAGCCACCTCCACCACTTATGCCACCACCTCCTAAACCGCCGAAGTCTTTCTTAAAGCCCTTCTTATGGATGCCACCTTTGTGGAGGAGTGGACGAGGGTGAGGGTGAGGAAACAAGTGCTTGTCATCACTTAACTCTGTTTCTCCCACAGTAAAATCTGTGACCAAAACAAATACCAAAACAAACACACACGCTTTACCAGAGATTAAACCCATACTTGTCGGAAACTACCTCAATTATTTGTAGTTAGATAACTATTGGAAGAGAGACTATGTTTTTAAGGAGATTGCTTGTCGCAAGGATAGTATATATAGAGATCGAGAGGGGCTTAGAAGGAGAACGTGATAGCACTTATTGTCAATTGTGCACAGTGTATACAGCCTAAGCAAACCGGATCAATTGGTTTACTTCTTGTATGAGAGTTGTAGTTTTTTTATTTGGTTGGTAATCGCAAGGAAATGGCAGAAAACCGATAAAGAGTAAGACAGAATCGCGCCGGTTCAACCTGTAAACAGCTTTTGTGTGACAACAAATAAATGGTATTTCATCTGTCACTGGACAAGTTTTTTCTTTTTTACTTTTTGGACAAGTTATTATTTATGTATTGCCTACCCAACTGCCCTATTGATCTCATCCAACAGAAAGAGAACAATATGATGTAAATATGGTTGAAGAGTTTGGAATCTATGACACCAATTATTATATACAAGTCGTTGAATTGCGTTCATCATATATATTCATTGGTTTAAAAACCGATCACGTACCGGTTATTTAGAAAACCAAAAGTTGAGAGAAACATACCGATTTGATTTGTTACGCTGGTCTATTAAAGGGACAAAGCGCCCATAAGGGACGAAGCCCATACAAAGTACACAGAAAATAAAAGCAAAGGGCCAAACAAAAAGGGTATGTCTTACAAATTGGCCGTGAACCGATTTTATAATTTTACAATTTTCACACGTCGTTAGTGGCAGTAGACTCTTTGTTTCTTTAACTAAGAAAAGAAAATCTCCAAACAAAAGACCGTAACAAAGAAACATATTTGCAAAGATATGGGTTAATTTATAGAGATAACCAAAAGGGACTAAAATCTTTGATCAACCTGAAATCGAATAGACCCAAACCGAACCCAAATGGATACCTGAAAGTCCACCCCTAATAAATATTATGTAATTCTATTTTTAGTACAATGTGTTAAATGCTAGAAAAAAGTAAAATCATAAAAGTTGGAATTAAAAAGTCTGGAAATCCTTCAACTAGTCAACTCTATGAAAGAAGTTCCCATGCAACAAAACATGACTTATCATTCTAGTCTAAAATGTGTAAACAATTTCACTCATAAAACATGCCTTGTAGCCAAAGAAAATATAAATGAAAAATAAAATAAACACCAAAGTACCAAAAAACTATGCCACAGGTAACCAAAAATCTCGCTCTGTATAATTTTTGTACAAGTCAAAAACCTTCCTTCTTTTCCTATAAAAAAGGGTGTCTCTCCTTCGTTCATTTTCTCTATATACACTTGAGAGAATTATTTTATATCAATTACTGACTATGATGGAAGATAAGGCGGTTATAAATACCTTTCTAGATGATGATGTTGCTCCTTTGACGTATGAGGATCAGATAGATCTTAAGGACGAAGAGCTTCTTTCGGCTTGTTGCCGTCTGATCAAGGTGATATGGTTTCGTCTCAACTGATCTTCTTCTCATTGTTCCTTTATAATTCACTCCAATTTTTTGTTTGTTTCCTCAGGTATTTCCACGGCTGAGTAGCGATTATGAAGGTGAGGATATGAAGCGAAGGTTGGGACTATTGATGATGAGGTCTTCTTTCAAGCTTACCGTGTTCAAAGGCCATATGAGCCCATGGAGGTTACCAGGTCAAGATCTTTAGAGGTGTATCATCTTTGGTCTAATGTTCTGCGTGCTGCCGTCCTAGAAGTAGATGTTGACACACCCAATAAGTCACCATTCAAACCTTACACCGTCAATGAACAGGAAAATCTAAGAGAAGACTTCGATGTGACTCTTTACCGCCACATCCGGAAGGAATTTAGAGAAGTGAGAGTATCATATATATACGGAGTTAACCTATGGCGGTGGAGTGATCTTGATGGACAAGAAGCGAGTTTTGATACTCTATTGAATTCATTGGTCCCGACACATATTATACATCTTCTTCGGTATTTTCTTATGTAACTATCATATTAAATTCCCAACACATATTATACATCTTCTTCGGTATTTTCTTATTTTTATCATTATCATTTTTTAAAGAATTCTTTTTGCTAATATTTTCCTTATTTTTTATATTTTTTTGCCAAATGTTTATTTATCTCTTTAAAAAGTAATACAAAACATACAATCAATGAACCAAAAATCCATTTTAGAATTCTTTTCGATCATAACATTACCTTATTTACAATATTATTGACTTAAAAAAGAGTGTGAACTGGGCAATGTTTTAAAAGGATTTCCCAATCTTTGAAGCCTAAATATTCATAAGAGTGATTTGTCTTAAAAACCAAAAAGAATGATGAAATTAACAATTTGTCTAAACAGTGAAACTTGGACCACGTGTTGAAATTAACAATCTGCCTAAACAATGAAACTTGGACCAGTTAATTGATAATTTGGCTAACTATTGACATTTGGAAAATGAGCTTATCAAGTTATGGGTACCAACCGTATGTTTTAACAAACCCAACCAGTAAAGATTACCAATTTTGTGAGAAGTATAGGACTGAGTGTGTTGTTTAATTTTGTGTGATATTTTATATTTTATATATTTGTATATATGATATTGAGAAAACTATAAAAAATGTTATTAACAGTTTTCTTATGGCATCTAAAAGAGATAGACCGACACTAGGTGAGAAAAAAATATGTTTACTAATGTTTTTTAGACATTAAACCAATATAGATTGGTATTCATGAACTGTTTCAAACTGGAATGGTGTTCTGAAGTCATTTCATTTTCTTTTCCGAATTTTTGTGCATTCATTAATTAATACACTGCATAAAAAATGTCATTTGCTAGTAAAACATTCATAGATCACATGCCTTATCATATTATTGGAAGTTTTAAGAGAAATATGATAGGATAGCAGTAAAAAAGTTCTTATCACAAATATAGTGCATAAAGATCAAAATGATCAAACTATGTTTGGCTAAAAGGGTTAAAGACACTTATGTTCATGTCATAAAGAAATGTGCATAATGATCATGTGAGCAATCGAGGACACATACATAAAGATATTTTCAGGTCCGAAATTTAGATCTGGTTTGGTTTATTCTCAACTCCGAAATATTTTCAGGTAATAGCAAGATTTCATTAATCATGATTATATATCCTATTTGTAGGAATATAATCAACAAATGAACCACAAATACATTAAAAACTCGTACTCACCAATCTATATTTAAACGAATAAATCAATAAGAATTCTTGTCTATGCTATTATACACAAAATAATCATATGTTTAAACAACTTTGCAGAAATACCATAGAGAAATATGCCTTTAAACAAATAAAGTAGATCTTCAAATTAGATTGAAAAGATTTGAAACAAACTGAAAACATCACGAGTTGGTCATCTTCTATTTGAAGCGCTCTTAGCTTCTTCACTCCCGCTTCTATCTCCAACTTCTTACTTGTAGGGAACAACGACGTCTTTATCATCATGACATCTATGAATGTCCCATGCTTGATCAAACACGACGTAAATGCAAACTTTTCCTCTGAACCACTGAAGTTAGGCATCCACATATTTTGCCAGCCTCCTGAAGAAGGTATATATTTCTTAACGGTCGCTTGTAGATTGTCATTTTATTCTGATTGTGGATATTTTATCACTATCTTTTTAGGACTTATGCGCGAGCTATTGTAGAGTGATCCAAAAATATCCCGTGGAAGAAGTGAGAGCCCGAGAGGAGCAGGTATCCTTTTTGGTGAAGATGTCACAAAGACATTTTTCAAAGACAACAATCTAGGTAAGTACACGTAATCTATTAAGTTCTGCCTCTTGTTGATTAGCTGTTTAACTTGGAGTGTGATGAACTTTGCAGATCTGTTGGTCAGATCACACGAGCTCAAGGAAGAAGGATATAAGACTAGCTATAATGGTAGACTCATAATGATTTTCTCAGCACCTAACTACTGTGACAAGGTAACTTCTAAACTTGAGACCTTATTAATGCAAGTAATTCTCAGCATCAACAGCACTAATCTTCTGAATATATAAAAGGCATGTTTCAGATTCTCTCTTCACTCTCCACAGAACCTCTTTTCAGGTATTTCCAATCATAGTTCTTCGAGTTATTCCAACAACTTTTTTTAAGACAAACTGAATATCAAAGAAGAATAAATACTATATGCAGCATGCCTACTAATGAAGGTACATCTTCTCCCTCCAGTCTCCACTTAATGATCAATCTTTTATTTTCTTCTTTCCTCATAAGTTTTCCTAACTCGACAGAGACCATGACCGCAATGTTATAAAAAGATTTACGAGAATACTCTATGTGAAAGTGTTCCTCGCAGCGTGTATTGTTCATAAAGAAACTGAAGACGAGGGTTTCTAATTTTTTATTAAGTAATTTATTTAAACTTCATATACCATCTATTAAGTAGACTAACCCCAATAAAAACTCTATTTTCTAGAGAAAGGAAACCATCTAAGGTCTTAAACCTCTTTAATATTCATACTATATCAGTTCATGATGTAGCTATGCAATAAAACAAAATTTCATATTTTCTTATTTTTCTTGAAATATGTGGGCTAACCCCTACGAAATAACTGAATTTTCTGATAAATACTATCTATAATATTTAATCTCTTTAATGTTATTTACAAATAAGTAATCACACCATAAACTTATTTATATGTATGGTAAACTTATTTTCATGGTTGATGGGCATCATTTCTAATTTTTTATTAAGCAATTTACTTAAACTTCATATAACACCTAATAAGTGGAATAACCCCTATAAAATCTCTATTTTCTAAAGAAATGGAAACATCTAAGGTCTTAAACCTCTTTAATATTCATACTATGTTAGTGCATGATGTATCTATGCAATAAAACAAAATTTTCATATTTTCTTATTTTTCTTGAAATATGTGGGCTAACCCCTACGAAAATACTAAATTTTCTGATAAATGCTATCTATAATACTTAATCTCTTCGTGTTATTTACAAATAACTAATCGAACCATAAACTTATTTATATGTATGGTAAACTTATTTTCATGGTAGATGAACATCATTTCTAATTTTTTATTAAGTAACTTACTTAAACTTCATTTAACACCTAATAAGTGGAATAACAAATAGGTTTATAAGAAAATATGAAAATTTTGTAATAATTAATCTCTTTAGTGTTATTTACAATTAACTAATCGCACCATAAAAATAACACTAAAGAGATTAAATATTAATAAGTTTAGCATACATATAAATAAGTTTATGGTGTGACTAGTTATTTGTAATTAACACTAAAGAGATTAAATATTATAGATATCATTTATCAGAAAATTCAGCATTTTCGTAGGGGTTAGCCTACATATTTCAAGAAAAATAAGAAAATACGAAAATTTTGTTTTATTGCATAGATACATCATGCACTGACATAGTATGAATATTAAAGAGGTTTAAGACCTTAGCTGTTTCCATTTCTTTAGAAAATAGAGATTTTATAGGGGTTATTCCACTTATTAGGTGTTATATGAAGTTTAAGTAAATTACTTAATAAAAAATTAGAAATGATGCCCATCTACCATGAAAATAAGTTTACCATACATATAAAAAAATTTTTGGTGTGATTAGTTAATTGTAAATAACACTAAAGAGATTCAATATTATAGATAGCATATATCAGAAAACTCAGTATTTTCGTAGAGGTTAGCCCACATATTTCAAGAAAAATAAGAAAAAAATGAAATTTTTGTTTTATTGCATAGCTACATCATGCACTGACATAGTTTGAATATTAAAGAGGTTTAAGACCTTAGATGTTTTCATTTCTCTAGAAAAGAGAGTTTTTTTTATAGGGGTTAGTTTACTTAATAGATGGTATATGAAGTTTAAATAAATTACTTAATAAAAAATTAGAAATGATGCCCATCTACCTTGAAAATAAGTTTACCATACATATAAATATGTTTTGGTGTGATTAGTTAATTTTAAATAAAACTAAAGAGATTAAATATTACAAATAGCATGTATCAGAAAATTCAGTATTTTCGTAGGGGTTGTTAGCCCACATATTTCAAGAAAAATAAGAAAATATGAAAATTTTGTTTTATTGCATAGCTACATCATACACTAACATAGTATGAATAGTAAAGAGGTTTAAGACCTAAGATGTTTCCATTTCTTTAGAAAATAGAGATTTTATAGGGGTTATTCCACTTATTAGGTGTTATAAGAAGTTTAAGTAAATTACTTAATAAAAAATTAGAAATGATACCCATCTACCATGAAAATACGTTTACCATACATATAAGTAAGTTTATGGTGTGATTACTTATTTGTAAATAACACTAAAGAGATTAAATATTATAGATAGTATTTATCAGAAAATTCAGTATTTTCATAGGGGTTAGCCCACATACTACAAGAAAAATAAGAAAATACGAAAATTTTGTTTTATTGCGTAGCTACATCATGCACTGACATATTATGAATATTAAAGAGTTTAAGACCTTAGATGTTTTCATTTTTCTACATACGTCTATCTATTACCCTGTAACGGTAGTTGGAAAAGAGATGAATGAACATCACTTCCATTGCATTCTTCTTTAGTGGTTTTGAGTCATTCTCTTGCACAAACCAGAGCGCACCTTACTACATCACCAATAATCACCACATGAACAACTTCCATCTTTGAAATGATGAAACTGTCTCGCATCTCTCAGTAGAATTTCTCTTTGGCTGATCTTACTAACATATTTCATTAAAGAATGACAATCTCCGCAGATTCTAAGGTTCTTAACGATCCTTATCACCGTTCCAGGAGCAGTTCTAAGAAGCCCAAGTGCAAGAACCAGTTTTTCACTATGGATTCCCGTAACATTCTCCTTCTCTTCTTCTTCAATGTCATGAATCGACCAATCAGCTCCCGGAATGTATCCTCTCACAACAGCAAGCGATACGATCTCCTCAAGCTTTAAACGTATCTCTTGTACTTGCTTATGAGAGTTCTCACCAGCTACAAATTTGTTCAGTTGACCGTCCAATTCGATGTAACTCCATCCCTTGCATCTTTCTTTGACTATCTTATGCAACGGTAATCTTCTGTTCTCTACATCTTGATGCTTCCCTTTAGCTGCTGCATACCTTTTGTCCAAGAAAATATAACTACCCCGAAGCTCTGGATCAATCTCCACAAGATTTTGCGACACCATTTCACTCTTTCTGTTACTATTGTGCGCCTTGCAGGCACGATAGAGTGCAGCCCATGTTGTGAGATCAGGCTTTATCGGCATATTTTCTATGAGCTCATGTGCTTCGTTCAACTTCCCTGCTCTACCTAACAGATCAACGACTACCACATAATGCTTCAGCGTGGGCTCTATCTCATAGTCAAGCATCATGCTATCAAAGAAATTAATTCCCAAGTCTACTTCGCCTGAGTTCAAACATGCAGTTAGAACCGCAAGAAACACAACCTCGTCTGGCTTCTCTCCTGTATGAATGCCACAAGTTTCAAAGAATTAATGGACGATAAAGAAACGAGAAGAAAAGCTTTAAACTAGACAAACCTGAATACATCATTTCTCTGAAACAGAGGATAGCTTGTTGGAACCGTCCATGAATCGCCCAACCTTGTATCATAGCCGTCCACGAAAGAATATCTTTAACCCCCATCTTACTGAACACATTGGCCGCACAGTCAACTTCCCCACATTTTGCATACATATCTACCAGAGCTGTCCCTATAGCTCTATCCAATTTAAACCCATTGTCCAAAACATAGCTATGAACTCTTATTCCCGATTCAAGAGCACCAGATTTCGAACACGCAGAAAGCACAGCAGCAACTGTATATTCATTAGGCTTCATACCCTTCTCCACCATCTCAAAATAAATCGAAATCGCAGTTTCGTAGTCGCCATTTTGAGAAAATCCATTGACCAGCGTCGTCCAAGAAACCACATTCTTCTCTTGCATCAACTCAAAACACTGCTTTGCTCTTTTCAACTCGCCGCTATCGACATAACCCTTGATCAAAGTACTCCAAGATCCTGAATTCCTCTCTGGCATGGACCCAAAAAGCGTTGTAGCCATCTGCATATTCTTGACCCGACAATACCCATTAATCAAAACATTCCAAAGCAAAACACTCTCCTTTTTAATTCCCTCAGGACTTTCGTCGAACACTTGGTAGGCATACTTCAACCCTTTATTCTTAGCGTACATATCAACCAAAGACACCCTAACAAACGAATCACAATCCACACAATCCTTCACCGTCGCGGCGTGAAGAGCCTTACCTAACCACCTAAACCCTAATTTAGAATTCGACTTGAGCACAAACGGGAAAGTTAACTGATCAGGTCTCACACCAAGCCTTTGCATCATAATGAAATGACGAAGTGAACATTCGAAACGTGCATTCTCTGTTAAACCACGAATCAAAGCATTGAAAGTAAACAGATTCTTCTCTTTAGAGTATCTGAATATCGAGAGACTGTAATCCGGGGACTTGAGAAGTGAAGAGCAAGAAACTAGCTGAGAAGCCACGCGGCTAGTGAGAATGCTGCGGCGGAGGATATGAGCGTAGACGCGGCGGAGAGTTACGGTGTCTTTGCAGGAGTGGATCAGAGATATGAAGTGAGACTCGTTCGGTGAGGATTGAAGATCGGTCGGAAAAGATATTTTGGCGGGAGAAGTCTTCGGTTTGAACAGAACATAAAGCGATTTCATTGTCCCCTTGGAAACATTCCGACCAGATATCGCAGTATATATAGGCATAATATCTAAATTTAAACCGGATTAAACCGATATCGGTCAGTATTTATAAACCGTTTCAAAAAAACAAGCGAGTAAAGAATAATTAAGACACCGTCTAAAGAATGTGATTAATATTCAAAGATCATAGCGTCTTATTATAATTGATTATTGAAAGTTTTATAATTTGACACAATACAACGAAGAAGACAATGCAGAGGTTTAAAGAACTCCGAAGAAAGGGTTGTTGATGGCGGAATTAAGCTCTGTTCCAGCTGAGTTGATAATGGCTGAATCAATCTTGTCCCTTGGTAAGAACAAGAACTCTCCCCCTTCTATTTTCTCAAAACCACATAGCTCCATGAACTCTATGCCTCCTCTCAGTGAACCAACTCTATCCTGTTTCATCCCAAGAACCATGGTGTGTAAGAAACTGGACTATATATCCATCAGCTGATCGAGAAAAAAAAGTAGATGCGTATTTTTCTGAAGATTGTTTACCTGAAATGTTTGGTTGGTAAGTCTGATTTTCCGGAATTTCTCTTCATCTGGATTCTTAGCGACATTTCCCATGTAAGTCAGCAGAGTCTGGAATGCTCTCTTCACTTTAGCATCATCCTCCTGTACCAACCAACAAGTCATTACTGTTTTAGTCAAAGTTTTTTTTGATCCTCTCATCTAAATTTCAGTTGAAACACTTTCGCAAGACATTTACCAAAAGACTACTTGCTGTGTGGAAATACTGAATGCATTTACCTTGTGGGCTTGCTTAAGTGACCTCAAGCATTCTCTCATTTGTTCAGTCTTAGTGGCAGGTCTGATAGGCAATGAACTCTGCAACAACAAATAACGTCTCTCTAAGCACATAATAGGAGAAGGATGAATATAACTTGCTTATTTGAAAACGTTTACCTTCTTCTCCTCCACAACTGGCACTGAGGGTTTTGCAGCTGCAGGATCTTCCGCAGGCAGTCCTAGTTTCCGCCTTCTTTCAGCCTGTTATAATGTAAATACGAGTCTTCAATGTTTGTGTTGAGAAAGATATATGTAATGCAAAAGGCATGTAAATCTAACCTTGTCTTCTTCAACCTTTTGACGGATCTTTTCCCTAGCCCGTCTTTCTTCTTCTTTCTCGGCTTTACGCAAAAGGATTATACTGAAATACTCAACCAGTAAAAGTATTTACTTGAATAACCAAATACATAAATAAGAAGTAGAGCTGACAAGCCTGGCACTATTAAGTAGAAGAACAAACCGTTTTCTTTCGTTATCTTCTTCAATCCGCTTTGCTTCTAGGAGTTCCTTGCCAATCCTAATTCTCTCCTGAACCAAACACTAACATGTTAAAACGATGATAACAAATAGAGTGCTTACAGTTTCAGCCATGGAATCAGTATCTAACACATTCTATTTCACTACTAAAAGAATTCTCCTTAGATACTTGAACAGCGATCACAGCTAGTAGAGCTTAAATCCTAACTAATAAGCATGCCCACTTGCAGGCAATGTACTTAGGAGAATAGTGCAAAAGTTTATTCTAACAGAAAAGGACCAATAAATAACCTTCTCTCTTTCACGCTCCATCCGTTTTTCTTCCTCTTCTTTCTTCTTCCGTGCACGTTCCCTATTATGTAGAACAGCAAAAAAATGAGGGAAAGATAAACAGATTCAACAATAAACATCCACATATTATACTGACCAATATTAAATCGAATAGTTGAAGAAAGAAGAAAAAGACAAGGTTATGTATGATAAAAGAGTGATGTCTCTAGTGTGCACTACAGAATAAAATGTACATGGACAGAAAAAACAGAAATTCATAGAACCTTAGTTCTTGTGCTTTTATCTTCACTTCTTCCGGCGTAAGAGCAGGTTTAGGAGGCCCAGCTTTAGAGTTGGCAGGTACCTAGGCAAACAGTCAACAACATAGACATTACGCTTACAGAAGAAAAAGAAATAGAGTAATACTAAGAACACATATATGCTTAGTACAGCGAGCTATACGCAAAACAGTTCAGGATTGGAGAGCATTTATCAAGGCGCAAAACAGTTCATCAAAGACATTTTACTAAAAACAAACTATTGACAAGACGCCATACCTTTGGCAATTCATCAACGTCAGGATCATTCTCATGCTCCACCACCCAATTAACTGCAGCCTCGAGACTGGCATTACCTGAAGAGATGAAGACCAAATTCTGTTACAGAAAGTAACAACACTCATTCAATAAGCTTAATACCTATTGAGATCAGCCTTAAATTTTGGAGCTTTTAGGCACAAGACCATTTTACACTTCAGATAATTCTCAAACGACATATTAAGAAAACGTGAAGTATATGCTGCGTTGTACCAAATATTATAAAGTAAGAGCCCAATACAAGTAGTGAAAAACGCTAGATTTTTTACCAGAGTAGTGGAGTGCTCGGGTAGCACGAGCTTTAGGGAATCCCATCCCTTCAAGTTCCTCGAGTATTTTTTGATCAACCTCTGGAACAACCATCTCTGCAGTAAAAAAAAGATATAGACCAATAAGAAATAACGTTGATGTCACACTCCGAAAACTAGTGCAATACATAACATTTACAAAGTACCTTCAGCAGCATCTCCGCTACCACTAGAACCATCAGGGTTGTCAATATCCAAAGCAGGCTTAGGAGCTTCCAAGCTGATAGGTTTAACCGTCTCCATTGTCTTATCCACAAACTCTGTATGCCCTGTTCTCTTCGTATGCAAATCACTTTCCTTCATATTTGTATAAAAACGAGAAAATAATCAAAATTCAATAGTCATGAACCTTCAGAAGCCAAAAAAAAGCTCCACAGGCAATTAAACTAATGAACTCTAGTAAAAGAGTCAAATCTAATGAAAACAACATAGAAACCAAATTTATCAAACTTTGCGATCTAATTAAGACCAAATCAGCAGAAAACACTGGAAAACAGACTCAATTTCATTCAAAAGTCAAGTCAAAACCAATCAGCTCCAACCGCAAAGCCAAAGATTGTAATCAAATCGAGATTACAGAGTCAAAACCCATTTACAAGAACTCAGAAACATCGAGATCACATGTATCAATCTCGAAACTTGATAACAGAAAATCTCCAAGGAGATCTGCGAGTAAATTCTAACAACCATCAACAAAATCAAGCTCAAATTCATAAAAGTAGCGATGAGAATCGAAGATCTGTACGGTTTTAGAGCGACAAGGCTTTTTGCAAGTAGTGCAAACGAGATTGAGAACCGCTTCAGTGGACTCAGCGAAATTGGAGTGAGAGGTGAGCTCCGCATGCTCCTGAGCCTCCTCCACTGACTTCAACAACGCGCCGCAATCACCACACTTGAGCGAGACTCCTGCCATGGCTACCAATCAATCTCTCGAACGAACTTGGTTTCAGAAACTTCGATGCCTTTCCTTTTAATCGGCGTTGCTTGGGAAGAGAGGAAGACGTAAGGCCGGTTTAATTATCTCCACTGCCGGTTCAGTTTTTCGGTTCTGACATCGACATAAATTGAGTGAAGCTTCCGGTACGCACGTATTTGTTTCATCCTTAACCGGCCTTAATTACAAGCGTTATCACTATTTAATACGGCCAGTGTTTGATTGGTTTCATCCTTAACCGGCCTTAATTACAAGCGTTATCACTATTTAATACCGGTCTGTAATTTTTTTTTACCAATGTAAGCAGACGGTTTGTTGTAATTTTTATCCAAAAGTAATTTTATTTTTTATTAACTATAAAAAAAATAACAAGACAAGGATTTTGTTCTTCAAATATTACAAATAATATTTACTTAACAATTGTTCTCGTATCACACTAATGAGGGATTTAAAAAAAAACAGTTAGGCATGATTTTGGCGTAATATAAACTGAATCATTGTTAATTAAATTAAATGAAATAGTCTATATAGTAATTTTAAATTACAGCCCTAAAACTAAGCATCTCTAACTTATATATTTAACCTAGAATCTAGACAATGTTGTTTTACCAGATCACGATTAAAAAGGTAATAATATAATATCCATAAAAGTTGAAATTGAAAAAAATAAGGAAAACTGGTCAACTCTATGAAAGAAGCTCTCATGGAACAAAACAAGACTTGGCATTTCCAGAAGACCAACAAAATGTTTAAATGGTTCACTCCTAAACATGCCTTGCTGCCGAAGAAATCTAAGTGAAAATAAATAAAACACACAAAAACCAAAGTACTAAGACCAAAAGAGATTGTCTTATGCCACAGGTAATCTATCTGAAAACCCTATCCTCTCATTACCTGTGGCTGTGTAAAACGAAAAAAATTGCAACTGAAAAATAAAACAAGAGAAGAATCTTCAGTTCTGCTCAGCAGCCACCATCACAGCATCCTTAGGAGCCACCACCACTATCTCAGTCGGATTAGGGTTTAGGTTTAGACCTAAAAGAGTCTGAGCTGGCTCCTCCAATTCAGGATCAGAAGGGTGACTTTCCCCTGAACCACTTGAATCACCATCTTCATCTTCTTCTTCTTCTTCTTCCACTGGAAGATCAGCTTCAGCCATCTCTACATTCTGCTCAGGAACCCTCTGCTGCAACGGTACAGCGTTACTTATCAACGCCCCTGTCTTAAGCTTCTCTCTATACTCTTCCATTTCAACTCGATACCTCTCTTTGTCCTCCATCGCCTTCCCTTGATAAACAGTTTTCTCTTGCTCATTAAGCTTGTTCCAGAGCTCACCAATCATTCTACTGATCTCCCTATCCTTACCAGGGTTAAGAGGCTTCAGCCTCGCGTGCTGCTCAGCGAAAAAGAAGTTATAACCACTCCTGTTAGGTTTAGGATGAGCAGGGTCACGTCTCTTGATCTCTGACTTCTTCCTTCTCCTGCGACGTTTCGTCACTCCTCCAGTAATCCCCTGAGAGTTGGCATTGTTGTTGAAACCACCATGACTCTGCTGTGGAGCCAGCTCATAGAGTACTCCTTTAAGCTCCTCTGTTCCCATCTTTACAGTTATAAGATAACCATCTTTGAATTTCCCATCGATCAATCCATTCACAGTTACTGGACCATGTAAAGAACCTGAAACAATAAACCACAGTTACGTAAGTCACAAGTTTAGACCATTTATAAAAGAAACAACAAAGAGAGAAAAAGAGTTGAGACCTCCAGGGAGATCACTAGGGTTGATCCTTGGTTGTGATGGTGTATAGGTTAATGCTAGAAGCTCTTGTGGAGGTCTCTGCACAAGTCCTGATCCAGTGGATGGGTTCTGAAGAGAGTCTAAAGAAAGAAATAATGTTAATAATACAAACATAGTAACTAAAAGAAGATTTGGTTTTTTGGTAGTAACTAACCTAGAGGAGTCTGGCCATTAGTAGAAGATCTAAAGAAGTAGATTTGCTCATAGTTTTTAAGAAGGGAGAAGTAGTATTTGCGCAGGACAAAAGATGCGTTTGTTGCGGTTGGAGGAAACACAAATGTAGCAGTTACTTCTTTCCATCTCCTTTCATTAACTATCTGCAATTTCAAACCAGGTAAAATGATGCCAATCAATGAGACATAAATCAAAATAGGTCAACTGATATAGCCCTAGGGTTTTAAGTATATAATTTGATATAACATACCTTACTGATTCCACCACGAGATGTTACCTCAATGAAAAGCTTGTGCAAGTCCAAATCTTTCCCTCCTATGATTGGAACCCTACATTAGTAAAAGACAGAGAATCTCATGGATTAGTAAACATGAAACACTTTTTTGCAGTTCGATTCTCAAAACATAAGGCATGAGTTTATTATCAGAGTCACAAGGGAAGCAAAAGAAACTCACATGAATTTAGTTCCCATGCGAGCATGAAGCCTTTCCAATGTAGCCATGAAGAGCTTTGCGTCTGCAACCACAGCTTCGTACGTTGCTTCAGGGGTAATGGGAACGTTGTTCATTGAAACTGATCCTTGCTTAAGACAAGAGCTTGATGATGCCATTCCTTAATAAAAATTAAAAAAAAAAGAGGTTAGCATTTTTAACATCATTGACCTTACCAACAACTAAACCCTCTTCAGCATTTACTTTCATACTAATCAATGAACCAAAAGTCAGAGACTTAAAGGCTATGCACATCAAAAGTTTATTTAACCGTTATCCATAAAACAGAAACTCAAAGATACACAACAGTTCAATTTTGAAGATATTATCTACACAGATGCAAATGAAGGAACAACAAGTAAAGAAACAGATTGCAAAGTCCAAGAGAAAAAGCTTTAAAGAAAAAAGGCTGCAAAGCCTCCATGAATTTTCATATCTCTATGTTTCTTATATGCTGAACAAAAACTGAATAGACAGGTTGACATTAAATGAAAAGCGACTTGTGCTAGAAAAGCAACTACACTTTTAAGGATTCAATAACAACGACACATCTAGCCACCCAATATCTTTTTGTCTTTCAAAAAGAAGATTTGTTTCTTGTTTTTTTTTTTTTTTTTGCCTTGAGATATCAAGAACACAAAACCAAGAAAATCTCTGAACAAACATATCAACAAATACTTAACAGGCATCTAAGAAAACGTAATGCCCATTCATAAGAAGCCATTGATGCACAAGGGAAGATGAAACCCATTTCTTGGGAGCATTCCCACGAGGCAACAACAACAACAAGCAGCAGAGCCCAGACGACATAATAATGATTAAATAATAAAAGAGAAGACTTGAAAAAAAGATTTAAAACCAACAAAAGGATCTCACCTTTGCTGACCATTTAACCTTGAATATTCATAAAAATCAAAGCTTTAGTTTTTATTTATAAATGGTGAAGCAGTGAATAGAGAAATATAATGAAGGGACGCGTATGTTGATGCGTATGAATAATTGTGTAAATGAGGAACCCAGAGATGAAGAAATAACTGATGGGGAGGCTATATAATAGGTCAAATTTATATATTTACCATAGGGTGAGAGAGAATTGAGCAATGTGAAATATTCATGCACTATATAAGGGAAAAAAAGATTGAGAAGAATTGTATAAATTTACAGGATGAAAAATAATTTTCTATTTTTATTTATATTTTAGATCTTGAAGATTGACCACTAAAACAGATTTCAAAATATTAGATTTGGTATTTGTGATAAAAATAGTTCAGTGAATTATATTCATATTAAACCGAATCTATTTTTATAAGAAAAGATAAGAATTTGAAATATATTTTTTTAATATTTTCTTGAACGGTTATTTTTGAGTGGTGTGAAATCATTAAACTATAAATCTGTTAACTGTTTTTTAGATAAAATCAAATAAGAAAAAGGATCCCTAAGAAAAATGTACAAAGTTTTTAAAATAGATATAAATTCTTTCTAAATTAAAAATGACAAAATGATGATGAATTTCTTTTCTCCACTACATTATTAGACTTGAAATTTAAAACATCAATTGCTGAGCATGCACATAAAATATATATATATATATATATATATATATATTTGTATTCCAATCATAATTAATGTTTTGTAATTTATGTGAATTAGTTACGTGTGTTTAGTTCAATAATTAAAAGTTGGTATTGTATTTGTTCATTTTCTTATCATATGTGTTCATTTGGTTATCATTTTTCTGTAAAAATGTTTAATACAAATACATATGATGCCCCAAATACTTATTTTAGATTTTCAAAGTTTGACTTGGCATATATTTCATTATTTCGTTTACTAGATGATCAAATTGAACCATATAACTAAGAATGGTAACACAATAAACTATTGTCTATTAAAAGATTTTGACTAGTCAAAGTTATATTCTGTCTCTCTCATCAGATTGTTCTATGAATGTAGATGATAAACTGCTTGGGCATATTTAATCAAATCAAATTAAAGTAGAAACCTAATAATTCAAAAAGAAGATAACAATAAGAGAGTCTCCTCTAATACATTTTGAATGTATGTTATTCAAAGTTTAGGGGATGAAACACAAAACGATAAATGGAAAATAAAAATGAGATATAATCTTAACTAATAAGATTGATACGCAGCTTTGGAAGGAAAAATTAGAAGAAAAAAAAAACTAAGGAAAAATTAGAAAAAAACTTAGGAAAATAATATTCATAATATATATTTACCTTTTCCACTATAGATCTTATTAGTATGAACTATGAACGATATCATGTAAATCTATGAGTATAAAGTGTTAAATGCTAGAAAAAAAAGTATAATCATTTTTCACTATTAGTGTTATAAGAAAAATAAAGATATTCGCTTTTAATGTTGTAAGAAAAATATTTCTTCCATACATTCCAAAGATTTGTATTCTAGTATATTTGTCTTACATCAAAAAGTAAAAAAAATGGTAATAGCATAAAGCAGCAAAAACTATGATTTTGATGGTTTACTACATTACCATAAAAGTGATATACAATTACAAACACAAAAGCTTTAATTATCACAACTATATGCACACACAAAGATGTTTCTAAAAAGCTTCAAGAAGAGTGAAGGTCCATGGAAGATCTTCTCAAACCTCGATTCTTTGACGTAACCCTAACCTATAACACACGGCAAACAACAAAAGTATCAGTAAAAAAAAGTACAATATATAAGAACATTTTATTCACCAGATAGTTTTTGGAAACTTCTTATGACTAACCTTTGATGATAAAGGAGGCAAAGATGCTCGTCTTGTAAGCTCCTTTCTTTCCTCTTGAACAACTTTCAATCTTTCTCTCAACAACTCCACTTCATTCTCAATCTTCAACCTCTCATAATCAACCGCAGACATCGACTTCCTCCTTGAACCAGAAGAGCTTAGTGACTGTCTCCGTGGACGACATAGTGGAGGAAGCTTCCGAGCTATCCCCGAGACAATGATACCATTGTTAACAGAGGATTCTTCTAAATTCTTCTTCCTTCCCACGTTCTTTGTCTCGTCCTTCACCATGTAAACATCACGCACACGTGAGTACGCAACTTCTGAATCCGATGTATACAAATATCTATTCTTAGCTTCTCTATAAGGCATCTCATGAACCGTTCCATCATGTTCTTGAACAAGCAAAGCTCTCCTCTCAGGTTCTTGTTTTTGGTTCTCTTTTGGTAAAGAACATTCAGATTCCTCTGCCTCAGTGAGTAAATCTCTATAAGCTTCAACTTCTTTCTCCAAGAAATGTTTTTCCCTCTCACGCCTTATCAAAATGTCTTTGAGTATGACCATCTCTTCAGCATCGAACGTAGATTTCTCCTCAACCATTCTCTGGAACTGCATCGCTTCCATTTCTATCGCTGCCTTCTCGTCTTGCAGCCTATGTATCATCGCCATGGCTTCATCAGCTGCTGATGCTGCTGCGCTTCTCTCTTTATCTAGCTCAACAGAAATAGCTGCTCGAGCAGCTTGCTCTTGCTTCAATGCCTCCTCTAATTCCTTTACAGTTTTATCCTCTACATTTCTAACAAAAGATAGGTTTGCTGATGAGTTGGAGTTTACTTGTTCATCAAGTGAGACAGTTTTTTCAAGTACCGGCCAATGAGACAGACCAATCCTCTCTTTTGTCTTTATATCATTATCTGTACGTAACATACCAAACACACACATTTAAGAATAGCATAATTTCTATAAAAATGGACCATTTAAGATAAGAAACAAAACTTTTACGGTCATCATTAGAACGTCTGGTAAAGACATGATCATAAGGCTGCATCAAAGAATGTTTTACGGTCTCATCGAAAGCATCTGATGAAGAAACCGAACCAAGACTTCCGTAATCCACACGGCATCTCCTAGGGTTCTTAAGACCTTTTCTTGGTCTTCGGGTGACAAAACGCTTACCTTTCTCGCCCTGAACGGTCATTAGATTACTCACGTTCCGTTCATTTGATCTTGATGCATCCTCCTCTGTTTCATCCTTAACTCTAGCATTGCTTACATCGCCACTGTTCTTTCTCACCAGCTTCATTTCAACAAACCGTTTCGAATCATCGTCGCTATCACTAGTGATTGACCCAAAAGGGATCTTGTTTTTGATCAATCTATCTACGGATGAGATTCTCTCAGATGCACTAGCCACCAGATCCCCTTCAATGCACATGTTTGGATTACCGAAACGTCCGTTGTAAAATCTAGGAAGAGAGAAACCTAGAAACCCTAGAGATCTCAACACGACATGTATGAAAAGAGATGTACATAGAAGCAGAAAGGTTATGGAGAGATTCAGAAATGCGCCTATGAGACCAGTTAAACTCCAATCATGACACGGCATTTTTGTAAAAAAAAAGATGAGAGTTTCTCAATGCCTAATGTATCTGTTAAATCAAATCTATGTTACGTTCAGATAATCATGTGTGTCCGAAAAATCTGTTGGGGAACAGAAACATTGATCATCTGCTTGAAGTTTGATTATCTAAAATCAATTTAAAGCAAACGGATGCAAACCACAGATTATTAACTAATTTTAAAGATCGTTCTTAATCGATCATTGGAATATAAGATGGGTTCAAAACGTGAAACTGAGGTATTTATAATAATAGCATAGGCCACATGGTGAGTGTCCATGCAAAAAAAAAAGAAAAAGAAAACATGCAAGTATTGACGTTGACTAGAGATGGCAAATTAGGTTTTCCCGTCCCGTACCAAAGCGGACTTCCTGCGTTTCGGATATGAAATCTCATTCGAAGCTTATCGTCGAGCGGGTCACGACGAGCCTGTCCCGTGCGGGCTGCGATCTTCTAAATAACTATCCAATTCCGTACCGCATAATTTATAAGCCTTCGCGAATCATCCCGCGGGACGTCTCCTTCAATTTCCTTCATAAATGTTAAAATATAAGAGTTGTGTAAAGAAGTTGAAGAGAGCTGAACAACATCGATCGCAACAACATCCAATGTGATCACTCGCTGCTTTAATGGTCTTGTAGTAAATGAGCCATTTGGATAGTAAAATTTAACTCTTTCAAAAATATTCCTCGTTTGATTCTTTGTAAAGCAACGTCTCTTCATAGCAACAATAACTTAATACTAATGGTTTCTTCTTCTCTTTCAACCAAGCTGTTAAACTTAGAGTGTAAAGACAAAATGTTGTAGTAACCTAAACTCTCGTTTCGAGCCGTTTAAAGAACAAACAGTAGCTCTTCAACAAACAGTAACTCTTTAACAACATCATTGTAACAAAAATTATTATATTTTCTTAAACACCACTTGACAATACTGAAAACAAAACTTATCAACTTAAACAAGAAAATTCCACATAGTAATAAGGCAATTTATAGTACTGAAAACAAAACCAAACAGAAATGGAGACTTATGGTTGCGGGTCTTCAAAATCCCGCGGGTTAACCTGTCCCACATTCGGCCGGTCCCGTTTTGAACCCGTCCCGCATTCAGCCCGTCCCATTTTGAGCCTGTCCCGCGAGGCCCATAATTTTGCGGGCTTATCAAATGAAGGTCAATCCCGCCCCGCAGCAAGCCTTTACGGGCCAGACCCGCGGTACAGGTCTTTGATTGCCATCCCTAAGGTTGACTCTTTATCACTGCTTGTATATTAAGTTGAAGTTACAAAACTACCCTCCTAGTGAGCCATCCGGTTTAATGATCCGATCGGTTAAGAGTAAAAAAAAAGAGATACGATTGTGAGAATCGAACCGGATCTAAACCCTAAACCTCTGTGAAACCTGAACCGGTGAGTTCCTTCCTCACTTGCAATCTCGAATCGATTCGATCGAGCAAGCGAACGGGAGAGTCAGTGTGAGGGGGGAGTTTGATGGCTCTCGTTCGATTGATCTCTTCTCGGAAGCTTTCACAATCGTTATGCAGTAGAAATGTTGATCGATTCGAGCTGATACGCATTGGATCGCTTCGAGCTGCTTTCTTCTCGACTCAGAAGAAGCTCGTAGACGATGAACCAGTTCTTGTGAGTTTCCTCTTTATCTTTTCCCCTGTCAGCTCTTTGATAAGTTGAATCAGTTATAAATTTGATGAACGTTGTGATTCTCTGATTTTTATTTTAATCTGATAACTATTTTGTTAAAACGGAATTAGGTTAGGGATTTCATACACAGAGCATTGTATGATGCAAAACTCGGATACTTCTCTCAACGATCACAATCTGTTGGTGTTTTGGAGAGAAGCATTAAGTTCAATCAGCTTGAAGGTAAAGAAGCTAAAGATATTCAAGTTTCACTTGCCTTTTAGTGTTTGATTCTTGAATTTTAGAGCATTTCTGACTAACTAGTTTTCTCTTTTTGTATATAGGGAGGAAGGCTTACATGAAACTATTGGAGAAAGTTTACAAGCAGAGTGACATTTCTTGGTTTACTCCTGTGGAGCTCTTCAAGGTGAATTTTCTTTGATTCTATACTTGGAATAGCCTTCACTTGTCGTAAGTAGTGATTTGGAATACTCTCTTGCAGCCTTGGTATGCTCATGGGATTGCTGAAGCTATTCTGCGTACCACAAATCTCTCAGTTCCATTAAAGGTTTCACCTCGCTGATTTCTTCTTCTTCATCTCTTTACGTTCCTCTTGGATTTCTTTAGTTATAGTGAATCCTGAGTTATCTTTACCTAGCATCTTACGCGGAACTAGTTAGTGATAGTTTAGGCCACTTCCCTGTTCAGTTGTTCATGCTTCGAAAACTTGAAATAGAGAAACCATGGTTTACCTAAAAACCGTAACACTAATTTTGGATCATTTGAACACAAAATTGAACTGTAAACAGTAAGGGAATGCCATTGATATTCTGCTTAAAATAATGTCTTTAGGAAATTTTTAATGTCTGCACACGGATTTACGTTTGCTCTGATTTTTCTGGTATTCCGTAACACTTGAAACATGTACGTAGATATATGAAATCGGTGGTGGATCGGGCACCTGTGCGAAGGGTATATTGGACTACATAATGTTGAATGCTCCTGAGAGAATCTACAATAACATGACCTACACGTACGTATCCCCAAGTTTTTCTCAACCTAAGCATGAACTATACACAATCATCTTTTGGGTTGAATTTCAGATAGTAACCTGTTATGGAACATGCTGCAACTATATTAACTACATGCTTATTTTAATGTTTTTCAGTTCCATAGAAATCAGTCCTTCACTGGCTAAGATTCAAAAGGAAACTGTTGCGCAAGTTGGAAGTCATCTGTCAAAGTTTCGAGTTGAGTGTCGTGATGCATCTGACCTATCTGGATGGAGTAAGGTTCTGTCTTTTCAGCGTGATGCAGATTCAAAAGAAAACACTTATTACCAATCTGAAATAAACCACGTTTTGTCGAACAACTTTCTGTTTAGTAAACGATAAAGTTATCTCTATGTGCTTAAAGAGTAAATTTTTGAAACAGGGAATGTGGAGCAACAACCATGCTGGGTGATAATGCTCGAGGTACGCAATTAAGTTGTCGTAGTTCTCTTTGATAGGTTGTTGTATCGAAGAGAAATCCACGTGACGTCTAATGTTTGAATAAACTTGTGCCATTGCAGGTGCTAGATAATCTCCCACATGATCTTGTCTATTCCCAAAGTCAACTTTCCCCATGGATGGAAGTCTTGGTTGAAAACAAACCGGAGAGGTACAAAGAATACTGGTTTTGGTTCTAATGAAGTTTTACATTTATGCCTCCATTGATCCCGATCTCTTATAAATTGCAGCGAATCACTCTCTGAGCTATACAAGCCTTTAGAGGATCCACTGATCAAGCGCTGCATTGAAATTGTTGAACACGAAGCTCCTCCGCTTTCAAAACCAAAAGAAATCTGGTCTAAACTATTTCCCAAGCCTAGACGTTGTTGGCTTCCAACAGGTTGCTTGGTAAGGGAAAAAAATGGTATCCAAATATGAAAACAGGTCTTGTGTTGCTCTGTTTTAAGTAAGTGAAATTACAGAAACTGCTGGAGGTTTTACATGAGAAGCTGCCAAAGATGTCCCTAATTGCTTCGGACTTTAGTTTCTTGCCCGATGTGAAAGTTCCTGGTGAAAGAGCCCCATTGGTTTCAACAAAGGTCTGTTATTTTTCTTTTCCTTCTACTATGCAGTGACACATTTCTCAGCATGTGTAGACTAGTTAATAACTAAACTATAAATATAGGCATTGTTAAGTCTACACGTCATTGTTTGAATCAAGAAGAACTTGATGTCAATATAAAGTTCAAGAATACATGATAATGTTTTCAGCCTTGAAGTATAACTATGATCTCTTTTTTAACAATGTTTGTATTTGCAGAAAGATGGAAGTAGCTCAGATTACAGTAGTTATCTAGACGCAAAGGTATTCTGTATTGCAAATTTGAGTAGTTGTCAATAATTTCTAACCTCATTTGAACGACACAAACTCATATGTAACTTGGGATGATCTTTTGCAGGGTGATGCTGATATATTTTTCCCAACCGATTTTTGGCTATTGGAACGAATGGATCATTATTGTTCTGGGTGGAGGAAGACGGAGAAAGACGGGTCACCATCGAAGAAAGGAAGAAAAAGGCGAACTCTCACTGTAAGACAAAGATTCTCCTTGAAACATTACAACAAGAGGAGGATATTTCTGAAAACTTTCACTAACTTGTCTTTCTTTTGGCATATAGCTGGATACATCAGCGTTCATGGACGAGTTTGGTTTACCTTCAAAGACGAGAACAAAGGACGGATACAACCCGTTACTAGATGACTTCAAGAACACCAAGTTCTATCTTAGTGTCCCAACACACAACACTAAGTAACCAAAAGGGTACCATCAGCTCATAGACCTCTGATTTTTACAGAAGCTTTAGTGAAATGCCTTTTGGTCAAAGAGACAAAGATTACAAATGAAAGATTTTTTTGAGTTCAATCCTGATTCCGTCTGTGCAATGAAAAAAGCACACGAACATGACATTGGATCTCGAAAACAGAGAGATTTTATTTCTGAGATGGCCAAAGACGGTTCAAAGATGTAAAATGAAATAAACATACTATATTTGTCGAATCTCATCACTCTTATATTTTGTTACAAATGTTGAAAGAAGATTCAAATCTATTCTTCATAAAGAAAAAAAATGTATATGACAGAGAGAAACAGAGGGAGATATTGAGCTATTTGAACTGTATGATCAATGTCGAGAAACCACTCTCTTCCTCTGCTCTTCTTTGTTTGAACATTTCAAAGACTACCTTACCGTTCTAATCCAGTGACCGTGGAATTTGTCTGAGAAGTTGAATCTGGATCTCCAACACTCTCTAACCGACTTTCCAGAATCTCAACAACATTATCCGGCGGACATTTATCACTGGACTTCTTCGGATTCATCTGACAGAAACACTCAGGCCATGAGTTTGTATAAAACGACTCAGGAGATACGCGTTTGTGAGGCCCTCCAAAGTTCGTTTTCAGCATTACACGTCTCACTGCTTCTTCGAACCCAGCGGTTTTGCCTTTCTCTCTAGCTATGAATATTGGAGCTAAAGCTTTTCTGTCTGGTCTGATCGTGGTGCGGAAACCGTAGTAGAGGCGATGACCTAAGAGATTGTTGGCGAAGTTGCTCGGTCCATCGTATGTTGGCATGAAAATGTCGGACAGGAGACAAACCATGTAATCCACAGCTGATCCTATTAATCCTTGTGATTTTGCTGACAGCTCCTCAGAGGGGTCCACCGAGCTATGGTTTTCAAGACGTGGGAATAAAGTTCGAAATGGTTCCATGAACCTTTCCCCGCCAAACAGCTCACCTGCTGCTAGGTATATCCTTGTGGAGTTGTCGAATCTCATCGCTCGTAATATAAGACCAACCTGCACCCACAAGGATCAACCAAAATTTCATGTTGCATTTCTAAAGCCTGCAATTATGATTCTCTATTGCTGCCTAGCTTATCAGTTATCTACCTGTGGATTGGTTCAACCTGAAAATGATGCGGATAAAAAGAGTAAAAGGAACTACCTCCTCAGGGGTCAGTGGACACTTCCCGATAGCCCTTCTTTCGTTGTAAATAAGCTTCTTCTCTGCAAAATTTTCTTTACGATACTTCCTCAGCATCTTCTGTTCCTCAGGGTTAAATATGTCAAAGCACCTGCAAAAAAAAAAAACAATGAACCATTGTTCCTATGTGTGCCGATGTGTCATGTATGCAAGATGATAATACAAAGGCAACCAACATCTTTGCAATACACTTAAACTAGATACTTATACAGAAATGAAACTAAAGCTGATGGGTGAAGAAAGAGACTTTCAAAAGAGCATACCCTGCAAAAGCCAACATATCCATTTCGAAACGAAGATGGATGGACATGAAGTGGCCCTGTGACCGGAGTTTGTCAACAATTGATTCACTCAACTGCATGATGTGTGGCTTGAATCTCAAAGCATGGTAGTTCACTCTGCACCTTAACCGTTGATATTCAGGATTGTCAATTTCCTCCGCCAACCGATGTGAAAAAGGTGTAAGATAGATAGCATTGTGTTCTTTCATTGCCTTTAGAGCAGTTGTCAAGTACCAATCAATAGGGGCATCTCGAGGAGGACGTATCTGTTTCCAAGAAGAAAAATGAACACACATGTATAGATTCTTTAATTTCAGAAGCATATATGGAAACAAAACATTCCTTTATGTTTGTACCTGAAACGCTTTTATCTTCTTGGTTTTCCCATTTTTGTGAACATCGGGGATCTTTCCCACAATCTTAACATCATACTTCAGGGTTTCAATAAAATGTTCTACGTCATATATTCCTTGGAAACCACTGCAAATAAGACAATCATATATTATAGGACACAGATATATACACAAATAATTTATGCAATGGCATTTGCTCTTCTGAGCATATCAACACCTATCCTTAACATTAGGCGAAGAAATCCGCTTAGAACTTATCTGTCTGATGATACTTAGAAGTTAGAAAAGCCTACAAATTGCATTACATTCACACTAGTAGCCAGTATTAATCAAACTCAATATTACTGTTCTGCAATAGTTTTCTAAAAAGAGGACTCTTAATTTCTCTTTTTGCAGCAGGCTAAAGGAAGCATCGTACCTATCATCATGCCAAAACGAGTTGGCATCTAATTCGGGTAACACAAGTGTAGCATTCATGATCCGGGCAGCAAGTACTGCATTACATATCTTCAACAACCATCCAGATGTCAATATTTTTCAAATCAAAGATAAAAAAAAAACAGATTCACATAATTAAAATTTAGACACCTACCGCACTACGTTGCTGATTCAAACCACCATTACACCGAACACGGAGATAACCATTTGTCTCCTTCGTAGGAGCTGCAAAAGTAAAATCGTATCATCATCATCATTAACAGCTTAGAATTCCCTAATACTTCTGAGATTAGCATCAAGTTAAATCGTTACAGCTCAAAAACATGAGATGAACATACGAGGCCAGTCAGATCGTGGAGCAGAAGATGGTCTCCAACCACCAGAGTCAGCACTCTCCCAAAGCTCCTCCACGCTTATCTGCTCAAACATCACATACAATAATCCATCATCAATCAACAAAAAACTCTCATCTATCAAGCAGGAGACTAGATTAAAGATCTTTGGATCCTATCTTCATTTCTTTCATCATCGCCAATCAAAATAAAAGATCTGATCTACACCTACACGTCACCACTCAGAAATACACACTAAAGAGTGAACTTAACCTTAGAAGGACGCGTCGGCTCGGGATTACCACCGATGTTAAACGAGAAAAGCAGCGAGAGAGTACAGATCAGTAGAACTATGACTCCGATAGAGAGCTTCGCCACCATCCCCTTCGTTCCAACTCCTCCCGTCTTCCCATGAATCCGGTGGTGCCCTAACCTGCAACATCACTCACTAATCAGCACCGATCTAATCGATATTATCTCTATTGATACCAAATTCGCATCTCAGAAACCAATTATTTTCTTAGGAAAGTGAAAGAGAAGGAGGTTGGTTATATCTTACCTTCGCATCGCGATTCAAATCAGGAAGGAAACAAATATCTACTCCTCCAGTGATCTGAGGATTTGCAACACTCTGTGTGTGTAAAATCTCTCCGTTGGAGTCTTTGCTTTCTCACTAGAGCGAGATGTAGATTGTTCGTTAATCGAAGTAATTAATTACATTCAGGACCGTATCAAACCGAAGTCGGTTCACCAGATCAAACCGGCCGGTTGGTTATTTTAGAAGCAGGCTTTTTCTATTCAAAATTTAATTGATTCAATATTAAGTCCTATTGAGATCTAGGTATAATTAAGAGAAAATGAATAGACCTAAAAAAGTTTTTATCACAAATATAGACCTTAACAATTAAGATGACTAAAATAACACTTAAATATGTTTTAAATATACATTTATATCTTTTGGTTAAATAATTCTACATTTTTTTGTTTACAGTTGAGGAGTGGGGTTTTAGGAATAGGGTTTCGAATTTAAAAAAATTAAGAAAACTTAAAAATTTTAAAATAAAAAATACTATTTTGGTCATTTTAATTTTTTGAGGTCTATTTTTGTGATAAAAATTTAAAAAAAAATATTTGAGAGAATTTCCCTATAATAAATTCTACAAAATCAGCTAAATATTTGGTGATCTTTCTTATTTTATGGAGATTTACAATCAGTTTTTTTTCCAAATAGTTTTCCAGTAGTAGAAGAGTTCAGTTTATACATAAAAAAGTTTTATTCCTTCTATTTTGTTTTTCCAACCATCATATAATAACACTCCGTTTTGACCAATAAAACAAAGAAATAGAATAATTGCAGTGACAATCTCATCATTGTTTGTAATTTTTATTTTCTAGAATCCTAATAAATCCCAATAAATCCTAATAAAATCTACAAGGTCGAACCGGTGAGTAGATAAATTAGCTGAATCAACCAGCGGCTTTCGACAGCTGCTTCAAAATGTCGGTTATCTCGTTAACCGGTGAGTCAACCTTGAGAAAACCAATAAAAGGACTCTCTGATGGAACGATGTCGTTTCGAAGGTCTGTAGACCGGAGCAGAGCATCAGAGCCTAACTTCACGAGCCCCTTGACAATCACCGTCTTGTGTGTGCCAGAGATAAGCTCCTCGTAGTCCGTATCGCCGTGTTCTCCGACTACAACGTACATGTTCGCCACGTTCAGCCTCCACCGCACGAACAAGTATCTGCACCGCAAAAATAGACAGACAAGATTCACACATATGTAACGTTGTTTTTGTAGTGTTGTCGGATTAATTAAAGTACCTAAGAGCTTGTGATCGAGAAGCAAGAAGAGGAACGATCTGCAATCTTGTCGAGTTCCGACAATACATAGGATGACAACGAAGTCCTCTAAGACGTAACTTCTGACGCAAGTCATCAATTCGCATCACCTGAAAACAAACCCTAAGTTAAAAAAAAACTGCATAACCATTTAATAACAAACATTTACTTTTTTACCTTGGAACGATCTTTGATCAAATAAGCAACGCAATGCTCATTACTCGACGCCTTATCCTCCTCGACAAGACTCGGTAAACCCTTGTTCCTAGCTTCTCCACCAACAGCTGTTGTGTTCATCAACTTCCACACAGTGTTCTTAAGCCCTTCATTGCCCCATCTATAATCTATATGCGATGAATAGTCAGGATCAGGAAGAAGCTTCCCTTCTTCAGCTCCTGGGTAATACACTTCACTCCCGCTGCTGCATATCAACGTGTCGAACTCACTCACCTGAATCTTGGCTGACTTAAAGAAGTTAATCAACTCATCAAGCGGCATTGAAGTTGATAACGCGAAACCAGAGTTCTTAGCCATCTTAGGATCCGATCTCACGGCTTTGATGATGTTCTGAATCATGGCAACCATAGGTTTCTCATCTGGCGCTCCTTCCTCGTTGTAGCAATCAACAGCTATAACTATAAGCCGTTCACGTCTCCGCAAAACAGGAAACTTGCTCCCCACGTTATCCCCCTGCTTCTTCCCCTGTACTTCCGGTTTACTCTTGGTTTCAGGCTGCTTCATCCGGCTCATTATCTGCTTAACCGGATCAGTACTATTCGGGTCAAGAGACGCGTTCCAGGAAGACTTGTCTCCATCCACAGAGAGTCTAAGAGACATGTCTTGAACGTCTTTAAGAGAGTCGTTGAGTGAACACTCGTCCTCTTGAGCCGCCATTTCGTCTGCATCCGTCTGCCACTGAGGATGTCTTATACGGCATGAGGCTACACGAGTCAGGTAAGTGCGGCAATGTTCAGGCCATGAAAACAGGTGAATGTTCTTCCAACCGTTGATCCTGCACTCGTTCCATAGGTTTTTCTCTGATACTAACTTCAGTAATGCGTTAGCTATTGCTTCTTGATCATGTGGATCCACTAGTAAACCGTTATGCAATGCCTGAAGTATATCGACTGGTCCTCCATTTTTTGTAGCCACCATGGGAAGCCCGTGAGCCGCAGCCTGCATTTTACAAAATTTGGTTAAAGAAAAGACTATAACCATGGTTCAAAAAATCGGTCTTAACCGAAATAATTTTCTTAAAATCCGATTTATATGATTCAAATCGGTTTAGAGTGTTTTAAATCAGTTTAAATCGATCTGAATTGATCTAAATCTGTTAATTAGTTAATAATTTTAGTACAAAACTATAAATTTGTCTAATTTATTTGGTTCTGTATATCTAATTTTGATAATTCATCACAATAATTTTATAAATAAATCTAAAAAAAAATATCTTATAAAAATGTAAAATATATATAAAATAATCTAATTGTGAAGACTGAGCCCTAGACTAAGTCCCAAATATAATCTGTCTAGACTCTAGTCACTAGTTCTCTATAAAGCATTTAGTTACCACCTAAAAATTACTTGAACATTGATTATAAATATTGTATTAGTTCATTCAATAAGAGACTTTACCTCAATGAGTGTAAGGCCAAAAGGTTCAACCAAAGCTGGATTAATGAAAACACCCTTTGTGTTTGCAGCAAGTCTATATATGTCAGGAACATCAGACTGTTTATGATGTTTAGGATACGCAACAGACCCGTAAAGGTCGTACTTGTCAATGAGTTTCAACGCCGTTGTAAGAACACTTGCGTTTCCAGATGGCAGCTCATCTATATCATCTCTATTCCCCATAATCAAAGTCTGCAAAAAAACATTTAGAAAAAAACAACAACTTCAGAGACACAGAGGATGTTGTTTTCTTGATGTTAGTTAATATCAGTAGTTAATTACGAGATTAGCTAGCTCCCGTAGATGTCGACATTCACCAAAGGCTTTTAAAAGAGTGGTTATGTTCTTCTTTGGGTCTGGTCTTGATAATGCCAAGATCATCGGTTTGTGAGGGTTTGTGAAAAATCTCATCACCTGAAAAAGAAACCATCAAACACAATCCACAAGGAAAATTTCTGAAGAAGATAGTTTAGTGAGAGAACTCACATCAGACCATATAGTTGGAACCGCTTTAGGAGAAGATCCCTCAGCTCCTCCTGCTAAAGAAGCTAACTCTCCTTCTCCCTCAGATGTCACTTCTTGAATCACGTTTGTGAAATCCATTCCTGGAGGAATAACCTGCACAACAGACTCACCCACTTTCAAATCTTACTTGATACTTATAATCAATGTTCTAAAAATAGGTCTTTTACAACTTTAAGCACCTACATAACATAAATATGCCTATTTTAGAAAAACCTTCTCAAATCGGTTTAAACTGTTATAAAATCGATTTAAATCAATCTAAATCTGTAAATTAAGTAATAATATTTAGTAAAAAATCCATAAACCTATCTAATTTCTTTTCTTTTTTGTTTTGTATATCTAATTTCTATAACTTTTCAAAATAATTTTATAATTATACCGAAGAAGTAAAATATATATTACAAATGTAAAAATAGCGACATGTACTAAATGACCTGTCTAAGCCAAAGAGCTTACCCCAAATAGTCCTGATATACATATAATATATCAATAGTTCTTTAACACCTAGTCAAGCCTAGGCCCTAGCAATTTTTTCAAAATTGTTCATAACATTTCTAAACCGGTTAGTTCTTGGTATACTTACCGCCATTCTCGGCATGTACCTTCCATGACAATTAACACCGCGTCTAGCCCTAGCTCTCAACACTTTCTCAAGCTTAACATCAAACCCATCATAAAGTCCCCACTGCTCATCAATCTCCTGCCTTGTACTCGTTATAACAAGCTCCGCAGCATCAAGAGAAAGCTCTTCAGCTTCAATCCTCCTCTTGATCTTATACGTCGAGTTTATATCCTCCTTGGACTGCCTCCCTTGTTTCAAAAGCTGCTCTAGCTTGTTTCTTCCTAGAGAATGACCCGTCAAGACCATAGGAACGTTCAACGCACCTGAAAGAAGAGCAGCACTGTCCCCTGCATCAGCGTAGTGGCCGTGAATCACGTATGGCCAAACCGGTTTCCCGTTACCAATCTGTTCTCCCAACACTTTCGACATGTTTAGGATATGAGCTAAGGCTCCATCAACGAACTCTTGGATGTAAGGCCAGAGAATCTCTTTTGGTAAGTACTTATCACGTGGACCAAAGGGTATGCGAATGATGTAAGCTCCACTGCTTTCTCCTGTTTCGTCTCCGTCACAATCTTCAGCGGAAGCTGTTGTTAGCATCTCTGTTGGCTCTGCGTAGCTCCAGTCAACTTCTGATGAGCATATCTGACGTGTAAAGAGATCTACTCGGTACACACCAGGCATTCTCGCTAATGCTCTAGCTAGCTCCACAACATATTTTACCTGAACAATTCAAACAAGTTAAAAGCGGAGATGCAAGAGATTAGGGCTTATGGATAGCTTGGAATACAAGGTACCTGTCCACCGGTATCAGAATCGCTACCAAGCTCCATGTTTTCACCACGAACTAATCCGTGTAAACTGATACAATCAACACAACATTCTTCATGTAGATCTAACACATACAATTAATCTAGGCATAGACACATTTCCGGAACCAAAGAACTGAACCGTACCAAACCGAATTTCAGAAATAACCGCACTAATCTTATATCTTTAGAACCAAAAACCCGCACTGGGTACCGATATTTATTAAAAAAAAATTATCCCAAAAAATGGAACTGGATTGAACTGAGTTTTCCGGATATTAACAGGTTCCTAATTTTGCTATCCAAACCGAACCAAAAACCGAAATAATCAAACTGAAACCGAATTTTGTAAATAACCGAACAGTTCTTAAATTTCTAAAACCGAAAAACCAAAATACCCGAGCTAAAACCGAAAGCCTAGACCTAAATCAACCACCTACACTCAATGTGAAGCAAGAAGAAAAAAAAAAGATAAGATACCTGATGAGGACAACGTAAAGACGATTCTCCTTTTTATCATCAGACCAAATATCAACACTGGATGAGTTGCGTTGGAGTTGTAATCTAGGTGTCTCAGGTTGAACAATCTCTCCAAGACCATCTCCTTTCTCTCCTTCTGATAAATCTTCACACAAATCCTCCGTTGCATCTCTTCTTCCTTGTTCTCTCTCCAATCTCCTGTTCGCTACTCGCTGCGAATCCTCCCACTCTAACTGTATAATCAATATCTCATAAAAAACATACTCAACGCAATAAAACACATACACATAATGATGTAACATTACGTACCTGCTTCTTCTTGCGAGTGAGATGCCATATTCTCCAGCACATGTTCTCTAAGCGAGAGTTTCGTTCACGGGAGTTACGAGTGGCTACCACTTTGAGCCAAGTCCGGTGAAGATCGGTTTCATCGACTCCGGTGACGACTTCCTCCACGAAGTATTTAGTAGGGTTGAAAAAGTCTCCTTCACCGTCTCTTAGAGTCATGGCTGCTTGAGGTTTCTGCTGTGTTTCTTCAATCCCTTGAGCTTGGCTGTCAAGTATCGCCTCCAAGTAGCCATTAATCCACTCGTTCCCCGCCATTTTGGAGTTTTCTTGAGAAGATCACGAGAGGAAAGCAAAACTGCGAACAGAGGCTCTGCTTTCTTGGGGAGTAAGAAACTGAGGAGTTAGGTTAAAGTGAGAGAGAAGATAACAAGGTGGATGTGTGGCTGCATGCTTAGGTGAGAATCTTTTAACATAAATGGCGGATTGAACGTGAAGAGATCAGGAGTAGTAAGCGGTGGAGCCATCAAGACGGTGACACGTTTACGGCGTCAATGTAATCACGTGGCAAAATGTAACGGTAAGAGAGAAGAAAGAGGAGTGGTAGTTTATGTTCTCTTGTCCGATTCCTTCTGCGATTCTCCCTCAAAACCATTAGTTACTTACACATGTTTATTTTTAATATTTTTGAATTTATGGGTATGTGATTTTTATTTGACAAAACTAGATGGCATTCATATCTCATTGGGTTAAAAAGTCAATAAAGAGAAATTGTGAATGACCAAATGTAGTAAGATACAATCGAATAGGGTTTAAATTTTGGTACACACACAGAACAAGAAGAGCACACCTTCCTACACGTACAGGTACGTGGTGTGCTATGCTAAAATTAACAACAGTCATGTAAGAGCCTCAAGTCCTAATAAAACATTTTAATCGTTCTTCATGCACTGCTCTCCGGATTGTGGCAGAAGAAGAGCCAATCTTCCTTTGTACCTCGCAATCTTCCTCAACCGTTCTTCTCTTAATCTGAAACAAAAACAAAAGCAAAACCAATCCAAGAATCTCACGGGGATGCTACAGGAGTTAAAAAGAGATAACTAGGAGAAGGAACTATTGTGGAACTTACCGTGCACGGACCTTCTTAGCTCTCTCGATGTGTCCTTTCAAAAGATCCTTCTCTGTTAAGTCCTCCACAGATTCCTCGTCCTGAGATCATCATAGAAAAGAGTTGAACCCAACATCACTTTGTTTCTGTTCAAGAGCTAGGAGTAATGTGTTCCGTTCTGCTCATAGAGAATATAGGCTTCTTGACGATAAAAGGCACAAACCTCTTTATCTTCATCAGTTGGTTTTTCAGTTGGATCATTTGGCACAGCTGCTTCCACCACATCCACAGGTAATGGCTTTGGCAACGGTTTCATAGTATCGCTCCTTTGCGACTGTTAAACACAGAAACTGCAAGTTAGATTTGGCCATATGGTTATGCAAGTCGAAAATGATGATCATTTAAGTAAGGTTGGCTTGTATCAAAACCAAAGGGGGAAAGAGACAACAACAATATCAAGCAAGAATACTTTATCTAATTTCCTAATCTGGATGCAATTAGAGGATTAGTCAAAAAAGAAATTTAGTCACCAGCAAAGCAAGATCCCAAAAGTACAAACCATGATTTTATTTTGATGTCAAGTGGAAACATCTAAGAAACTAAGCTTCTTGCATATAACTTAACAGTATAAAACAAAGTGATGGCGAACCTGCACTCCTTCATGTGCGCCATTTCTCAACCACGATCGACTAAGTGAATAAAGAGAAGCCCCATCAGTGATCCTAACCTGCAAAAATATGATAACTATCATAAACCAATGCCTTTTGAAAAGAATGTTTTCCACATTGCCAATCCAACAGTTCAAAAAAAAAAAAAATCTGAAAATAGGCTTACCTTTCTCCCTCTAACAAGGACAAGTGCGTCCCGCCTTCTATTAACATGGAAAAAGAAACAGCACAGTAAGTTTCTTAGAATAAGTATTCTTCTAAACACTCAGTGAAACAGAAAGAATAGATATTATCAAAGTAGAGAGACACCTGGCATTTTTATTCCTGCCAGTCTCTAGAATTGAAGTTGGGGGAGGGGCAACCTACATCCCAAAAATTTACAAAAACTTAGAAAACGTTACATGTGTGCAAAAATCAAAGGATTGGCAAAAAAAAACTGCATATTAAGAGCCATACAGCTCAACACTTTCTGAGATACAAAGACAGTTTTTAAGTCTTCCACATTCCCGAAAAAATAAATTATGAAACCCAATTATAACAAAATCAAAATCAAAAAATTATGACCAGACAGTAGGCCAAGGAAACCTAAATTAGCATAGATCCAAAAGAATAAGACCAATGAAGCATATAGACAGAGAAGCCAATTAAAAAAAAAAGTGCCAGTGTTACATATATATGATCAAAATGTATACTTTTGGGATATTTCGAATGAGAAGCACCATGAAGCAAATGGATTCTAAACATATTAACCAATAAGAATCAATCAAAATCAAGAAGATATTTAGATCATCTCAAGCATTATCCCTAATAACCATTCCACTAAAATCATCTAACAAATGAAACAAAACAAAATTTTCTTTTTCAACATTTTACCAAAAAAAAAAAAAGAAACAAAATTGCAATAAAAGCAAATTTTATTTCTCAAAAAAAAAAACCTCACCCTTGGTTGCAGGAAGTGAGGAACTCCTCTCATGGGACCCGACCCGACAGGAGAACCCGACCCGGGATGAGAGAGCTGATGATGAATCTGAGGATTCCTCGCCCTCATGAACTGCATCATTGTCTCCATTTCATTCGGCCCAAACTGCCGCTGACCGTAAGCCAAACCCGGTCGAATTGGATAACCACTCTGATTACCCGGCGAATTCATCCGTGCGGGTCGGACCGAAAACCCTCGACCCGGAGGAAACGGGTAAAGAACCGTCGACGGGTCTTGGTGATGATGGTGATGATGAGGTTGGTGAGGCGTATTGGGGCGTCGGTTAGGGATTGATTGTGTCGGGAGGTTGTTATGATGAGTTTGTTGTAACGGATTAGCGTGCTGCTGAAGTGGAGCTAGGGCTCTGTAAGAAGGTGGTTGTGGTTGTGGTGGCGGAGCTGGAGGTGGCTGAGAGGTAATTGTTCTGACAGTGTTTGCAGGTGGAGCCGGAGTTTCGGATGCGGTAGACACCGTTAGAGATGCGGAGGAGTTGGGATCGGGAGTCGACATTACGACGGCGGAAGAGAAGAAGGAAGTTTCAAATTTGGTCACGGTTTAATATTCCCCGAAGCCTCTTGTTGGTATAGAAGGTTAGGTTTTGGGCCGATATGGGCCTGAGGGTTTTAATGTAAACTAATGAATAGTGGAGAAAAGGGAGAGAGATTTATTTCCTTTTTGTTTTTGGGAGAAGAGTGAAAGGAGGAGATAGGATTCAGAGGTGGATGAATGCTCGTTAAAGCCGTCTCCCACCCTATAGCGAACGTTCGGTAACTTTTTTCCGTCTAAATCATCTCATGGGGTTTAAGAAAGTGTTCAACTTTTTACTTGTTTGTGTTTGATTTCTGGGTTTTTAATTCGTCCGAGAGCTGGATAGGTTTGAAATGTCGTAAGCTGATCTTGTAATTGAAGCTAAACTTTCTTCAGATTGTGTTTCTATAGGTAGTTTAGTTTGGGAATGATGATAAGTGGATGCAGCACATTAACTTCACATGTTCTTACAAGCTCTTGGGGGTTTAAGCCATCTTCATACAGAGCTACAGCATCAGGACAGTCTCAACGTTGTCTTGCTCCAGGTTCATTGTCCGTTATAAAGAACTCTTTGGTCTCACCTTTACCATTTAATGGGCTTCAAGCTAGTGTACAAAGAGGCATGTGAATTCCTTCTATTCATATATCTGTAGATTCCCCAGTGATTTTCTTATTTCAAGGTTTTTGCTTTTGTTCTTCCATTGTTTCAGGTCTGCCTTTGTCATATCTCTCAGCCTCGTCATCTCGCCTTCTGAATGGGGAACAAGGTAGTCTCTTTGGTGCATTACCTGTGTTACCCATCCGCAGGAAAACCCTTTTGTCCCCAAGAGCATCAAAAGATGTACCTTCCAGCTTCCGGTTTCCTCCAATGACCAAAAAGCCACAATGGTGGTGGAGAACTTTAGCATGCCTACCTTACCTGATGCCGCTTCACGAAACCTGGATGTACGCAGAAACAGCTTACCATCTCCACCCTTTCCTAGAAGATTTCGAGTTCTTAACCTACCCGTTTCTAGGCGCCTTAGGGAGGTTGCCGGGCTGGTTCCTGATGGCTTACTTCTTTGTAGCGTACCTTGGGATAGTGAGAAGAAAAGAATGGCCTCACTTCTTCAGGTTCCATGTGGTGATGGGTATGTTGCTTGAAATCGCTCTTCAGGTTATAGGAACTGTTAGCAAGTGGATGCCTCTTGGTCTCTATTGGGGTAAGTTTGGGATGCATTTCTGGACCGCTGTTGCGTTTGCGTACCTGTTCACAGTCCTTGAAAGCATAAGGTGTGCACTTGCGGGCATGTACGCAGACATCCCATTCGTCTGTGATGCTGCGTACATCCAGATTCCATACGACTAATGAGAAGATATTGTTGCATTTTAGATCGTTGTTGCTTTTCGTTTTAATAATCTGTTTGTTAGACTTTTGTATTTGTAACAACTTTGTGTCTTGTTAAATGACAGTTATGTTTCAAACATCTTACCGTTACGTTTATGTCTCGAACTTTAAAACATGTGAAACCAAAAGAATCTACAGTGTTAATCAGACTTTTATAGTTTATACAACAGGAGATTGATTCTAAATTCGAGGAAGCCGTTAAACCACTACAAGTAGAGAGGGCTCATGCTCAGGAAGTTTATGGATGACACTGTGATAAGCTCTCAACAGATGGCTGCGACATAGAACAGAAGAATAAATTAGATGGTGCATTGATCTTTACAAGTGCAGAACCAATAATTTTCACTGCAAACGTACCTATTAATCTTTTAGAGGAATAATGACATCTCTGTAGAAGGGATGAAAGGAAGGATCCTATCACCATAGAGTTGGTGCAGTTTCACCAAGAGCCGTCCAGAATCGAGGTCATCTTTCCAAATCTGATCAAGGATTGCTTTCCTAGTAATAGCTCGGCTGTGGCTGCCTTCTTTCTCCTTTGCGTTTCTGCTTTCGGGTTCTTTACCATCAGAAGCTTGTTCTGATGAGGATGGTTGAACAAAGGTTTGTGGCGGATTGTTATCTCCCATTGGTTTATCTACTTGCATTGGGGATGGACCACCGTTTGGGCCATCTGTAGCTATCAATCTTTTCTGAGGTGACCGGTTTTCTGAAGAATCTACACTCAGCTTTCGCTTATCTGTCATATTTTGGAAGGGTGAGAATAGATGTTGAAAACTGAAAACAATTGTTATCAAAGCGCCATGCATGATTGGTTGGGAATTAACTAGTTCCATATTTGTATAAGTATAAAAAAATGAATGGTTAAGGCAATGTCAAATTAGTCCCTAAGCATGTGTCTGACCCTCCTAAGCACCAATAACCATATTATGCAGAGAGTACATTAGTTGATGCAACTTACGTGGCTCAGTATTGATTAATTTCCCCTTTCCTTTATGAGGGAAACTTGGTAAAGGAGATGGTAAATTAGGGAAGATCTTAAGCCGGTCATGTATACACAGGCCTGCAGCACGCTGAAAAACAAAAATTCACAAGTTCCTTTAAGAAGTTAACTACGGAGCTTTCGATTACGGTGCACTCATAGACGAGGACTAGGACTAACCAGTAAAGCTCCATACACACGCCAAGCTTCATAGCTCTTCATCTGGTTCTTTTGCTTCTCAGCATCCAATTCTGGTTCGAGAAGACTTAAATACGGTTCAAGATTTGACAAAACAAGAAGGCGTACCTACACAATAAAGTGACATTTTAGCTATAACATAGGACCTATTTCCTAATGAAATGAAAGAGAGGCAGGGAAAATGGAGAAAAAAGGAAATACGGATTTTCAGATGATAGTGGATGTTGGTTAACATTGTTTCCGGAGGAAATTTACAAATTAATAAAAATCTTCGAAAATGGCAGTACAATGAGCCATCGTCGCTAATATATTAAGAAATCATGTCTGAGAGTAGTATCAGATAATGTATAGGAGATACTTACGACATTGTGCCCCAAAGCTGCTAATCCTTGAATTGCACCGTAGTGTTGAGTCAAAGCCTTCTTTGGATCCAAAAGTGCATTGACTAAAGTTTTCGTAAGACGAGACTGAAGAGTAATGTAAGTGTTTCCAAACCTGAAATTTTTTTTATTCAAACCACAGGATTTCAATTGACCAAACCCTTATAAACGATGAAGAAAACTTATCACGTTATCACTTATTGTTCTTTAGTTCGATCTTCCCAGTTGATATTCTGAAGCCGGACAATTAGCAGAAGTCCATAGCAAAGAGACTGGCTAAGATCAACTTAGAAGACTGTATATGGATATAATTCATCTCATCCTAAAGCATACAGTAGCTCAGTATACTTCATTATTAGTGCTAGTAAGAGTCATTTTCAGTAAGATAATCTCCATAATCAACCAAAAACGAACAGAGTTACAAGAAATGAAAGGGAAAGGATGAACCTTTTACATATCAGTGCAACCAGATTCGCAGTAAAATCTCGAAGATCCCAATGGTTGTCGGAAAATCTATTTCCAAGCTTTCTCGATACAAGGCATGTTACAACAGAGGGCATCAATTGGTGAAGCTGGCACCAAAAGGAAAATTTCACTTAGCTTAAAAAATGGAGCTAAAAGATTTTATAATAATGTTTAAGACAGTGCCAAAAGAAAATCCAGAGAACAACTTACATAAGGCTCTATGTGTATATGAGGATTTTGTAGAAGACTTCTAACAACGTGCATTAAATTAAACAGGAGTAGGAAATCATTTAACCCACGTGATACCTGCAGCAGTAGAGAAATAAATATTGTAATGTGCATCAAGCAAGTGCAAACCTTAATTCCTATTAAGATCTCTCGGTGGTGCATTATGTTACCTCATCAGCAATGAAATTTGTAAAATATGGAACTAGGGGATGAAGTCCTGAGTCTGAGGCCAAGCTCACTAATGCCTCTTTGAACAGAGAAGGATTTGACTTGCTCATTGTAAGTTCAGCAATCTTTTGGAAGTATAACTGTTAAGAGAGAAAACAACAGATAAGTCTTATGCATGTAAGATACGTCCTTGCTGTATTTAATCTGTAAGACATACCTGAAGCTCCTTAGATAATACATGCTTCACTGGTAGCCTAATGTCAATAAGAGGTCCATCCTTTTGATGATAAATTTGATTATCTGCAGGTGCCCTAATGACTACAAAAACCATAAACAAGTGGAAAATATATTTACGATGGGATGAGCAAGGAAATGTTTCAAATTTTCTTGCTCGACATAATTCTCAAAAACATATATACAGATGCATCTCAATTATGTACTTTCATCTCTCATCAACATCACTAACTACACCGTTTAACAAGGGGGAAAAATGTAGAAAGAAGTTAATACACCTCCGAAACGTCACTGTACATCCTAATATTTGTTCATGTCAATAAATTTAGTTAATGACCTTACTACTCTAACCCAGGACATCAAACTGAGAGACAAACCTTCTAAAGGAGCGTTTTCTGGTATAGCTGGCTGCACTCCTTCAATAGCAAGCCAGTGACAGACAATTTCAGTATCAAGAGGAGCTTTTGGTAGTGGAGCTTCAATCACCTAGAATCATAGGACATTTGTTGACAATATTAGAAAACAAAATATATATGATTCAACTGAACCCAAAAACCATGACACGTGTATATATGCGAGCTTTCCCAAACATCTTACATCTTTGAAATCCACCTCTCTGTCATCAGTATAGAACAAATCCCGATGCCCAATAGCTTTTCGAAAACGAATTGGTCCTCCTGAGGCAAAGCCATATATCGGCTGCAATAAAACATGATCATTCTCAAATAAATGCCTTTGCTTCAATTAACTGCTATCGAGAAATATGTGAAAGCTGTTTAACAGACCGTGTTATTCATATGCACCAGAAAGCTCAAACCTCAAAACCAGATACCATATATATATTTCTCACTACTAATAAACTCCACCAAATAAATATCAACAAATATTCATATCATCAAAGGAAGGTACCAAACATTCTACTGATAGTGCACAACCGAGGCTATAGAATATGGGAATTAGTATCTGGTCTCTATACCTCAAGGTTCCTTAAATTGAGAGCACCATCAACATCCGAAGCTGTTAAAGTCGTTCTCTTAGAGTGACGCATGCATTTGATAGCTTCCTGCAAAGATGGCATTAATATCAATTGCTAATACCCTAAAACACAGCTCAAGTACAACAAAGACATGACTAGAAAAAAAAAAAAAAAAATTTATTTACCTGCATGATCTCTCGAACACGATACTCAACATCAGGAGCAAGCATAAGTGCAGCCTCAGGTGACAAGTTGGTAATCCCAATACTCTGTGCTATAACCTCAATCGTTTCCTTAGGTACAATGCTCATCTTCTCCTCTATTGTATCCATACAAAAAGTTATATCAAACAGTGAATCCATAAAACTTCTCAACTTAACGCTATGAATCACAATTCAATAAAAAAAACAGAAACAATTGCATACTTCAATGTTCCGTACAGACTGATTATCCCAAACTCGACCATAACGGACTACGAATTTCACTATGAAACAAACAACGAAGCACACAAAAAAAAAAAAAAAAAAAAAACAATAAAATCAGGCGCACCGATTCAATAGAACACGACTGTAGAGTATCGTTTCGACTCAGAAGATAGCACCAAAGACAATGGCGAGCCACCAGATTGCTTCTACCTTGAGACTTAGCTCGTAAACGGTGCCTCCCGAGTCAGAATTATATAACCACCGATGCCTAGCCTCCGGTTCGTTATCGAAGAAGCGAATCAGCACCGTGTTTAATTGGGGTTGAATACACCCGCTTGAGTTATATCGGGTTAGATCAGCTTTGGGCTAACTCTAAAGCTTGTTGGGCCTTATTTAGCCCAATAACGATATGAGATTTTCTGTCTTTGCCAACCAAAATCCAATGTTTTATACAAGCAAATGAAGCAATAATTTTGTTTTAACAGCGTGTAACACTAGTTTACAACAACAAAAATTGATGAAAACTCTAGAATGAAAAAGGTACGCAAAAGTCATTAGAACAAATCCACGCATCCCTTTATTCTCATTCAAACATACGTGAAAGCAATTTTTCACTTTCTTTCACAAACAATAAGGGTAACACAATAAGGGTAACACAATGAGTGCAATATGTGTATAGTTTACTTACAGATAAATAATTGCCCAGTCCCAGTATCAGTATCAGAAGTTGGGACCAAATAAAGCACATTCTTTGTAAAACAACACTCCCCCCAAAAATAATATTTTATGATGGTCTGGTAAGGTCTTATACCCAAGATAATCCACCAGGAAACGCTCTGTGAACTCTGGCTCTTGTCACCACGGCAGCTTTTGTTTTTTCCTCCACTGGTTTCACCACCAACGGGCTTTCTTTCTCCATAACCTGCTTGTTGTGTACCACGTTTACACCCTCCTCTCCTTCTGTTAGGAACCGCAGGCCCTAGTGTTTCCATAGTTTTTAAGTTTTAAAAGTCAAAGACATAATAAACAGCACGATCTGATGATAATATACGAGCTGCTAAAAACATATCTTCTTCTAATGAAACTGTTTTCAATCTATGTTAACTTAGTGACTACTAGGATGGCCTTTTTCTTGGAACAAGAAGATATAAAAAGAAGAGTGTTGATTCATCATTACCGAAAGAGAATTATTAGATGATGGTTTTGCATCGATAGGTAATCTCGCACCAACGTCCTAAATCAAGAAGCCAGGAACAACAACTTTTCATTCAGGCTTTTCAATAAGTGAAAAAAAGGTAAGACAATGTTGCTCTTAATTGTAAGTTATAGTTCTCACCTGAAAGACTTTAGTGGCTGGGCTGTCTTTAACTCCTGCAATTTGACATAAATGCCATAGTCCTGAGAGTGTCACATCCTGAGAGTTTAAACCAAAAAAAAAAGTTTTAAATAAGCTTTAAGAAAACTGATTATGTCAACTGGTTGGTGGATGTAAATAAGATTACTTGTTTGCTTTCAAGACTGTCAATCTTCCCTTCCTGTAAAAAAATAATATAAGAGAGTGAGATTAATCCATTTGAATTACATAACTACGTTTAGTTCACATAGAAGAGGTAAAAGATGTGACTTACTATTCCAGATATCATTTCATTAATTTGTTGAAAGTCAAACCCAAGTTGTGAAATGCTTGATTTCACGGCTGTAACCTGCATCGAAACAAAAATTTCCATGTGAACATTATTAGCGTACTCAATGTATCTCGAAGAAAAGGGCATGTGAACTGGTTGCTATATAGGTCAACTGAATACTTTTGCAAATTTGAATAAGAATCTAGTCTTTATAGGATGCTGTTGTATATACAAGTGTGTCAACCAAGTGCCATAGAGATCGCTCTTATGAATGTATCATTACACTCATCTTTAAACTAGAAAAATTAAGGCATCAATACGAGAAAATGAGAAACAAGATGCGAGCCTTACATCATTTAAGATCATTTTAGATATCTCTGTCTGCTCTTCCACCTTCCAATCCAATTTCGATAGCTCCTTAGAAAGATGTTTCTTTGTTGACTGCATGGGCAAATAACACAAAGTCATAAACCACAGGAAAATAAATATAAAACAAGCAAGGAACGGTATGGTAAAATGTTTATTTTTTTTTACCGCTAATGTTTCCTGTAAGTCGTTTAGTTGTTTTGAAAAAGATGCAACTGCATTAGCCATATTTTTCTTTGTCACAAACATTGCATCGGAGAATGACCAACCCTGCAACGTAGAAAGAAATGAGTAAAATGTCATAAACGTTATAGATCAATGATATATAATACATAAATAAGATTACATTTTTATAAAACCCTAACAAAAGACTCAGGAAATAGATAGATTTAAAGAGGGATACCTTCCACCACATGTAACAGTACCCCATAGCTCCAACAGCGGCCGCTGGAACCAGGTAAGAAGCATAGCCTGCATCAGCAAAAGCAAAGATGATTATCTGCTTCTCATTAGAACTGTGGAATTGTAAGAAAGTTCTGCGTAAGAACATATATAAAGAGGTATTGACATACCACTGTTGTTTGAATCTCCGTTAAATATGGTAACTGGATTAACCATACTTAGTTCTTTGATTTCATTAGCGAGCTGTCGAATCTGGTCATTAGAAAAAGAGAAGAAAACTACGTTATAAAACAGAGGAACCAGCTTCTAAGAGTATTGATTTAGAAAGAAAAAATCCGAAAGCTTAATTTATAGTTGATTTTATGATAATACCTGAGCAGCAAGGGCTGCACTGTCATACTTATATGGTGTGAATTCAACACCTTCAGCTCCTTTGAGTAATTCTTGAAGCTCCGCTATTAGTTCAGATAACCTCCCATGTCTCAGTAGGATCGAACCAGACACACCTTGAACATTAAAACAGAACCAATCATCAAATTATAGGAATCATAACTGTAAAAAAAAAAAAAAAAATTAAAGCTGTGAACAAAAAGCATAGTTCAATAGCAAAGCATAGATTTTGAACCAAATTCATCGAATTGCCAGAATTTAATATTAATTCCAGCATAAACCTTTCCGAAGCTCAAGAAATTTTTGCTAGATTACAGTCAAAGCAATACAAACCGGAACAATTGAATTCATAAGAAACACAGTATATTCATAGTGACAGAAAGAGATAGACCTGCGCCGAGTAAGATGAGGACCTTGGAGGTCTGAACGCCGGCTTGCACAGCCATGGATTCCGATACAAAGGTAGAGACTTCCGCGGCCGGCTACCTCTTCTCGATTGTTCTGTTCCGTGATGCTTTAGCCCACCAGAAGAGACTTAATTACGATACACCCTTTTCCCTTTTGGACCTCAACTTACGATTTGGTTTTGACATATTTTAACATTTATGTTCACGGTCCGAAAACTTCCATTTTTAATCAGATTACCCCAAAGTGGCAAATCAATATGGAAACCGAATGAGAAGGGTATTGTCGACATTTCAGTAGTTCCAGACCATTACGCAACTTGCTTGACACTCGCCTTCTGTGTTAACCTGTTCTTAATTGTAAAACAATGCTAATAAATTTAATTCCATCATGGCTGAAAAAGATATGAGCATGAAGGCAACATTTACACGAGTCTATGAATATGAATATGAAATGCAAATTGAATCAGATTAAAACACAAACTGATTTAAGGTTGGATGAAAATGCAGCAACTATAATACTCCAACAATACGTTAAACCAAATTAAACAGTGATTCAATTTCAGAACCAACTCAGCTCTAAAACAAACTTGTCTAAGAAAACAACACACGAAGCTAAAACTCCTCAGAATGCTAATTTGAGTCTCTCAAAAAGAATCAAGCATCAACAGTCGCTGCTTCGGAATCCTGTTTCCTCTTCAAATACTCATTCAAGATCGTCAGCCTCGCAGTCTCAAACGCAAAATACCCTATAGCCGAGAAGCAAGCACTATGCACAACACGAGGCCCCATACCTCGAGTAAAACCAACCAAACCTTCCTCTTTCAATATCTGCTTCACCGTCCCCGCCACACCCGTATACATAGCAGCACCAAGCTTATTAGCCGCCTCCACATGAACCTGCGTCATCAACCTCGTCTTCACCACATCAAGAGGCGTGGTAATCGAAGCAGATATAGCACCAGCCAACGCCCCACAACAAACACTCTGCAGAGGCTCAAGATTGTTCTGCTGCGTCTTCTCCAAAACCGCAGCTTTAAGATACTCAAACGACGAGTAACTCAGCACACCCGCAGGTAAATTCCTCAACAACGTTGCGGAGTAGCCAGCGTAAAGCCCCAAGATCCCATCCTTCTCAAGAATCTCAAGCAAAACCTGATAAGATCTCCTCCCACTAGCTCCAACCTGCATCCTCTGCGTAATAAGCTCTTTAGGCACCATTATAGCCGATGAGATAATGTTCCCCATGGCACCAGCTGTGGGAGGGATTAGAACCGAAGGAAACTCCGGGAACTTACCGAGGAGAGATTTACCTATCAAGAGTGTAACAAACTTCAACTTATACATGGGGAGTTTAAATAGTAGTGTTAGTTTGTTTTCTCTTTTTATTTTTGGCTCAACTTCAATTTCCATTCCGGGGTACCCATAACATTATTTTGTGTCAACATCACCCTATTTTTGTGTAATTTCACACTACAATTAAATTTTTCTTCAACCACAACACCAAACTTAATACTAAAAATTATTTTATAATATTATATGTATAGATCATCTCTAACCTCACTCCATGATTTACTGCAAAACAAAAAGCTCACTCCATATTAATCATTTTTTTTGTTTTTTCAGTAAATTATGGAATAAATTATGGAGTGGGTTGGATATGTTCATAGTGGAGTGGATACTATGACACCAAAATTATAATGTTACACTAAAATAGTGTGATTTCTAGTGTTTGAACATAAGAATACTTTAGTGTCAAAATCACATTAAAATTCATGTTGTTGGATTAGAAATGACTTAATCTTGTTACCACGAATTGGTGAATGAAAGCAGTGTTAGTTAGTAACTGTATATTTACCGAACTCGCACGTGCCGAAATAAACTGCGGAGGAGAACGTAGAGCCGACGATAACCGCCGATACGCCGCTGTAAAACCCTAGAATCCCTCTCTCTTGAAATGTTTTCACTATCGCATCGAAGCTGCTACTGTAAACCTGCGAGGCGCCTTTCGCCTGAAGCTTCGTCTTGATCGTGTCTAACGGGAGAAGGCAGACGTAGGTGAATGCGCCGGCGATTCCGCCGCCTCCTGCGCCGATTAAGGCGCGTTCGAAGACGGAGAGGTGTTTCATCAGCGTTTGGATCTTCGGACTGCTTCTTGAAGCTGGCTTTAGCCATTGAAGGAAGCCTGGTTTGGAATCGGGATCGGAGATTGAGGCTGATGCGAACGGTGGAGATTGTTTTCTCGAGGATTTGAATTTGGTAACTGATTTGTTTCTGACGGTGGGGATTTGAGCGGAGGTGCGATCGGAGAAGTAGGTGACGAGGGAGTTGAAGTCGTTGGTGACGTGGCAGGGGTTGAGATTTGGAGATGGGAGGCCGAGACTCTCCGAGAGTCTAGCTTCCATCGCTGATTTTGGTGGTAGTTGTGAGGACGAAGACGAAGAAGCATCATAAGATGATTACTAAAGAGCACTGAAGAGAAACGGAGCGTAGTGTTATAAGTTAACACTAAAGCGGCAGGAAAGTTTTTAATAATTTCAAAATTATCATCAGATTACCCCAATACTTCCAATTTGAATCAAATTAACCCACCCAACAATTCAAATCCAATGACAAGGGTAATATCGTAATTTAATAACAGTCCAGACATTCACGCAACTTGCCGGACAGACACTAACCTTATGACCTGTTCTGTTCTTCGTAGCTTCTTCATTTACTTGGCGTGAGAATTACAAAAAAAAAAAAAAAAAAAATTCTCATCTCCGCCATGGATGTTAGGTGGTGCTGCTTCTTCCTTCTCATACAAACCATCTTCTTCTCACCATCCCACACGCAGACCGATTCATTCACATCAATCCTCATATCTCAAAACGGCCTCGATTTCGTGAAAAACCTATTAGTCAACAAAGCAATCGCCTCGATTATACCTCTCCAGATCCCCAGGATCGAGAAATCAGTTAAAATCCCGTTCCTAGGAGGAATCGATGTTGTCGTCTCGAACCTCACGATATACGAGCTTGATGTTGCCACGTCTTATGTTAACCTTGGTGAGACAGGTGTTGTCATCGTCGCTTCGGGGACTACTTGTAATTTGAGTATGAATTGGCATTATTCTTATTCTACTTGGATTCCTCCAATAGAAATTTCTGATCAGGGAATTGCATCTGTTCAGGTAATTTAATCATATCATGCATCATCACTTAATTGCTATGTGTGTTAGGAGGCATTAATCATATCATGCATCAGAGTGATATGTTTTTTTTTTTTGTATGTTTTTGTGGTTGTTAGTTAGGAGATAGTTGGTTATAGTGGAGTGTGTTGGTTTGATCATTGTTATATCTGTTTTTACAAAAGGGAGTTTGATGAGTGCTGATTCTCGCCTTCTCGGTAAGGTTGAAGGCATGGAAATTGGACTCTCGCTAGGCTTGCTAAGTGATGAAGGAGGATTGAAAGTCTCTCTTTCGGAATGTGGATGCCATGTGAAAGACATATCTATTGAGCTTGAAGGAGGAGCTTCATGGTTTTATCAAGGGTATGAAATTATTTACTTATTGAGTCTTTGTTTATATAGCTGAATTGTGTCTTCTTCTCTGCAATATATAGGATGGTTAATGCATTTAAAGACCAGATTGGAGCAAGTGTGGAGAGTACTATTGCCAATAAACTCAGTGAAGGTGTATCAGACCTTGATTCGTTTCTACAAAGCCTTCCAAAGGAGATTGATATCTTGTGATTTTCATTGAATTAACTAGCCATTTCTTATGCATATTAGAGTTTAGGATTGCATAAAGGCATTTTTAGGTTGCATATCCATTTGCATTTGTTTACACTAGGTGATGGAGTACCTCAAGAAGCTTTTAAGGGAGTTTGGAGTAGTTTTGGTTCAAGAAAGGCTGAAATGATCAACTTGCGAGTTTC